CTGGCAAGGAAGAAAGAGAGCAGCTTTACTACATGTATGATTTTATCCTCTGCTTCCATCGCGTACAAATCTCTACTAATGATATTATTATCTTTCAGGTATATCCTTTCTGAACATGCACAGAGAAAAATGCTTCCTTTGGATTTAATAAATTTTATTAAAGTCAAAGAAATTTAATTATTCAAGTAACGTACATGTTTATTTTAAATGAAATATTTTTTGAAAGAATTTTGCTCCTTTGACTTTAACAATTATATTAAGTCATCTAAAGATTTTTTTTTCCAATTTCAAATAATTGTTTAATATTCTGAATTCCAACAAGGAATCCAGATTATTAAAAATTATTTTAAAATTATTTTATTCTTATCAGAAATTAAACAATGAGGAGGATGTGATTAACCGGAATGTGGTTCACCGGGATCAGAGAACGACGTATAAAACAACGCGAATGAATATCGCATAAAAAGATGACATGTAGGATAATAAAAGAGTAATACATGAAATATTAAACTTTAATTAGAAAAAGAAACGTCGTAAGAATAATAATGAGTTAAGGGCGACTTGTGATTGATTCGATCGAACGTGACATTTATTTTTATCAGACGCAATTCTATCATTGTCAGAGTCAGCTGTGTTTAGCGTCGCTGAGCGGAGAATATACAAGCTGTTCGCGAACTGTCGTTCCAAGGATACGGGGAATATTAATATCCTCTTAGTGAAGGCATTTAGATTCCCCGGTGGCGTTGACGGGAGAAAAAAATGCGAGCAGATTCCAGAATCCTTCGTACTTGGTCGTGTCGTTGAAGGAAGAGGGCACGATCTGACACCAAGAACGAGATGAGAAGAGAGAGAGAACGACAAAGAGATGTGCGTGCGAGATGCGCGATGTGAACCAGATTATGAAAATCAGAACGAACGGTCGTCGGTAGGTTAAAGGCTCGTTGCGACGCGGCCGGGGCGTGTAATAATGTCACTTTTATTAGCCTCATCAGGGTCGGGAGAAGCCATCCTCCGACCCACGGGGGCGGGCTCCATCGCTATTACCTAATATCCAACGTGATCGCGTATCTCATTATGCCGACAATTTGCATCCATCGACGCGTCGTTGGGCGAGAAAGTTTTTTTTGCGCGCTCCCCGTGAGAGATGCACACGAGAGGCGTCACCTGGTGCTCGTGTGCTCGTTCGGAACATCCCTTCCGCGACTCGTCATTTTTCACCATAACTATATTTAAACTCTGTATCGCGAAATATTTTACACATATACAGGCTGTCAGGGCAATCTTTCGCCAAAAAAAGCTCTTGCAAAGCTCACCCCGAGAGCTTTTCAAAACACTAGTAAAGTATTTTTTTCATCGAATACTCTTCAAATTATGAGGCTTGAAATAATTTAATTATTTAATAAATTGAAATAATTTAATTATTTAATAAATTTAAATAATTTAATTATATAATAAATTTTAATAATTTAATAAATATCTTAATTTTTATATAAATCATAAAATATCTAGTAAAATATTCATTTTTCGATTATCTTACTTTAATACTTTTATGTACAAAATAAGAGAGGAATAAAAAAATATGTAATTGTTAATTGCAAATTACATTTTTTTTTCTTCGAAACAATTGTGTTTTCTTTACACCATTTGATTCCTCTCATTATTTTATAGATAAAAGTATTAAAAAAAGATAATCAAAAAATGAATATTTTACTAGATATTTTATGATTTATATAAAAATTAAGATATTTATTAAATTATTAAATTATTTCAAGCCTCATAATTCGAAAAGTACTCAATGAAAAAATACTTTATTATGTTTTGAAAAGCTCTCGAGATAAGCTACAAGAGTTTTTTTTTGCGAAAGAGATTGCTTTGCATATACGAAAAAATAAAGAACTTTGATAATACAGAAAAAAGCTAAAGGCAGTAATTATCGAGACTGTTGACAGTCATCGTTAAGTATTAAGATTCAACAATATGATAAAAGACGCTAAGAATAAAATTTAATAGCACTAATAATCCTAGGAAAATTCAAGGAAAGATTTGAAAAAAAGTCATCAATTTGCTTCTGCGGCAGATTTTATCTTCGTTTAAAATTGCGTAAAGCGGACGCGATTGTCGATTAATTATCATATTATGTTTGCGGAAAACTTAATATTCTTCTTGATGGAACTATTCATTATCGATATTCATTTATTACACTTGGATTTAATTATAGCCCTTGTGGTGATAAATGTAATATATAATGTTATTATTGATTGGTTATATAACGTTATTATTGACTTGGTTTGATTAAAGATTCACAAAGCGACAATCAAATGACGTGAATCGGGTCACTCGAACGAAATCATATTTCGTAGGCAAAGGCTGCATTTACGCAAACTCTCGTACATTCAGCCTGAAAATCGGGTTACACCCTACAGCTACCTACGATTAATTATATTGAAAGCACGGTTGCGTAAATGCACCGTGTAATGTGCATGCATCCGTCATCGTTCTCGACAAATAGCAAAGTCACATACGCAATCGTGTGTCCAAAAAAAAAGTGGAGCAAAAAATTAAATGTACGATTTATCACGTTTCATAAAATTCTTTAAACGTATCCTTACAAATTTCTTAAACGCGAACGAAAGTTGTATGCGAAGGGAAGGAAAACGTCCAGCATGTGAATTAAAACCACAAAAAAAATCAATAATAAAGTGGTAAAGCAGAATAATAATACGGGAAATGAAGTGGACGAATATTAGAAAAGTAGCCGGTGATTGCGTGACGTAACGTGTAATATCCTCGTAGTTAAAATCTCACAATTCGTATACTGGATGTCAATCGAGCCAGAAAGGAGATGAAATTGCAGCGGGTTCCGCGAAAAGCGATTATCCAATTTGCAATTATTATACCTCGCAAAGATATTGCGCGCGAAATAAATTCTGGCAACGTGTTGCTCTCTTTTTTTGCTTTCCATTAAAAATCGCTGCTGCCATTTTCTTTCCTATGATTTCGAAACGTCACGTGTTAGATGCGTCAAGTGAGTATCTTGGAAGACGTTACTCAGTATCCGTTGTACCGTATTAAAATACCGCGTGCGTACCATAATCTCGCGATTAAATTGGCTTTAATGTAATAATATTAGGAATTTTGTAATCGCCAATTGTCGCGGAAACTTCGGTGTATTTATTAATCCGCATAATTCCTGTCGCGGCGATACGCTTTGGTCACGCAACGGTAAGCGACCCTCTTTCCCTTCACGCGAGCCCAAAAAAAATAGGGGGCGATGGCTATCTTTAGACATTATTCCCAAGGAGTCGATTGATACGGAATTATACCCGGTTGAAAAAAAAAACGTCCTAAGAGAGGAATTAATAAGAATAATCGGAATCATTCTATCGCGCGCGTTTCAGACATCAAATCTTGCTCTCGTTATCTCTCGAAGGAATCGAAATCGCGAAGCGTGTTAAAGAGATGTTGAGACAAAATTGATAGCAATAATCAAATTATTTTTCGCTCTAGAAAAATCCCGAGTTCTCGTCATCTCACGTTATCGAGATCATCTCGAAGGACGAATTAGCGAGCGGAAGATTCAAGATACCTGTTTGTTAATCGGCCGTGTACGCGCGTTTACTCGAGCGTGCATTATCCGCGCGCGTTAGATGAAAGAGACGAAAGAGAGAGGGAGCGAGAGAAAGAGAGAGAGGAAGAAAGAGCGACGAGGAAGTGCGCGTGTGCTAGGGGAATTTCCAAGTTCACCAGGCACCTCCATCGATCTGCCGGCTATCGCGCTCTCGTGTGGCGGCCGGCTATCGGCCGTTGCTGCACTTTACGTGCCGTGGCGGCATTCACTTTTCCTCAAAGGTTCGCGAGCCTCACTGCCTGGAACACGCCGCTCGACACCCGAGCTATTGACCCCTGAACTTGACCCCCATAGAAACGTGAGCCTAAACTTGCGACCATCGAGTCCGCGTTCCAGTCCAATCTCGGGATAAGATTTTCGACAAATATTACGCGCGAATATTACGTCAAGGATATGACTTTGAATAAAAAATTCTCAACGGTCTCTCTATCTCGCTTCGCGTGCGAGATCTTTGCATGCTCGTCAAATTCCAAGTCTCGTTCTCGTGCGCGGATTTTTGTTTGTTACGCTTGTTGTACGAGTGTTGCGCAATAAACACGGTACGCCCAGGTGTTGCCTCTTCCTCTCCTCCTCCCACCACCCGCCCGAGGCTGGATACATTGTTGAACTCTCGATCTCTCTCACGATAGATGCATTTCCTCGCGAAGAGGAACAATGAGACCTTTTTCTTTCCTTTTTCCATGTTTTTCTTTTTTTTTTTTCGAAGGTAAAAGCAGCTTAAGATCGATTTAATCTAGCCGAGTCGCGGGACGAAAGAAAATAAAATGTCGGAGAATCAAGTTATTAGAGAGATAGATATACTCGAAAATAATGTAATATTTTATTTACAGATTGATATTATATCCTTATCTAGGAAAGAAAATTTTTGTGCGTTTCGAAATACCCACTTGAAGTACATCATCATCGATGCATAAAACGTCCGCGCCTCGAACGAATTTAATCAAATATCGATTTTCAGAATCTCACCACCCCGAAGACTGCGAAAATGGAAGAAGCAGCGCGTGCCAAGAAAATTTAAAATTTCGTTTATTTAGTAATACTTCTCTCGAAACGAAGGATTTTAAACGCATTTACAAGAACAAGATTTCAGGCGGAAGTGTACTAGTCGACGCGGAAAGGATGTCCCCGGATAGAAGGAAAGCAGGGAGGGGAAGGAAGGGTGAATCCTTTGAGGGTACCGTAACGCCTCGCGTATCGAACTCTCTTGGATCTTTAAATGGCGCTCATCATAACGAAATTGCGTTGTATCGAATTACATCAGCCTGATACGCTATCGATCGCTGTTCGAATATTTATTTTAATGACAAGACAAAACATACTTTTCGCAATATAATTCTCGATATAAAAAATCCTCGGGATTCTCTATACTCACTGTGATTCCGTGTCCTCGACGTACTTGTCTCAGCAGCTTTTAATCCAAATAGCGCGCGCGAGAGCAAAAAATTGCAAGGGTGCACTCGAGGATCTCTCGCTTTATCTGTCGCGCGATTACGATCTCGCGAAGATCATCGATGCGTTATCGCGAGTGATCGTATGTTACTTTCGAATCTCGACGACGTGTCAACGATCGTAAACGGGCGGGAATTTACTTGTTACAAGCGCGCTGCGCGGTGGCCGACGAGCAGCAGAGCGATACCGTCAGTGACCGACGTAACTGAGCAACTGACTGACGACTGACGCCAGCGCGTAAAGCGAACGCCACTCCCCCCACTCTCGCCGCCTCGTCCGTCCTTGTCGCGCATCCATTGGCCGCGCGCTCCGTCCTCGTCCCGCTCCCATTGGCCCTCCCTCCGCTCGCCTGCGCGCGCACTCGCGCATTGTAATTTCCACTTTATGATCTTTCATTCGAATCGTGAAATTGAGAGAAAGATTGAGATTGTATTTTTTCCCTTGAGAGATTAAAATATATGCGAGATATAAATCGTGAGAAATATGTATGATAATTATAATTACAATTGCCGGCAATTTTATCCGTATTTACGACTCGACATTTAACGCGTTTGACGTTTATCACTTTGAATTACATCCGTCTAATGTAAATAGAAGTGAAGCATGAATTAATCCATCGGGTTTAATTTACGAGTTGAAAATCAGGCTTGTCACACATGCATCTCCGGATATTCATTCGAGCCTACGTTCAATTCCGATGCAATTGTCCCCTCGAGGATTCTCCGGAGCTATCCCCTTCGTACGCTTTATCGCAATCGATGAACGCGATTCGTTGTTCGAGCTTGCACACCCGATCCTAATTTTGGCTTTAAAAAAAAGCTGTCCGGGTGACACGAAAACAGCAAACATATGATTCCTGATTTCATTGAGATGAAGATAAAAAAATAATATTTAACAGCGCAAAAGGCGCGAGCTTCAAAGCAGCGCGCGCGCGCGCACCCCGCGGACCGCGTGTCGTATCGACCCTTCACCATTGGATGACGCATCCTCCAATGACCGACCGGCTCAGCGATTACGTCATTCTGGGGGTATTATTGACGCCGGACGTGTGCAACGGCGTCGCACTGCCGCGTTTTCTCCGGGGAGGCATCCCTCCGTGTCCTACAACATCCCTTGTTCTAGGGGTTGTGTAACGATCGGTCCGGTATGCCGATCCGATGGATCGCGGTAGGCTAGGCTTAATCTTTTCGAGGGATTTGACCTGGTGCCCCGATAAGTCCCACTCCCGAAATGTTTGCGGTAATGCCATGCTTCCTATAAATTGAATTATTTCAAAAATAAATTATCTTTCGAGTTGTAATTTGATTTGCGGTGAAAATTCCTTGGGAATGTACAAAGGGGAGGGAATGTATTATTTTGACGGATGTAAGAGAGGAGAATTTAATTTCTCGCGTTACATTTCCAGCGTGCATTTCTGCCCCTCTGGAGGACACGAGGAAAGAGGGTCACTTGTAAATTTTGCCATCTCATGTTTCGAGGTTGAACATTTCAAGAGAACCAATATCATTATCTTGCAAGAGTAATGATTTCGAGGGACGGGAATTTTGACGCAGTTGCGGAACGCGCATTGCCGCATTGTCATCTTCGTTCTTCGCTTCATTTCAGGAATTCGATCTTCGTTTCGGCCGGCGAGCCGCGCACACACGATCGAGGCACGTTTCCCTGTTGCATACCTCGCCCTGGTTTGAAATTGAAGTCGGGGACGAAATTAGCGTCGTTGCGGACACGAGGAGTCATCGGCGTCGCGTCGACCAATCGATATCTCGTCCATTTCGCCGAAGATCGGAGGCCGCGTATCGACGAGCGTATATACGTCGATTTCAACCCATTTCGCTCCTCGAACGCGAATTTTCAAGCTATAGCTGTACATACATTAATGAGTTAAAGGGCTTATTATTCTAGTCGCTCGATTAATAACGTGTTCACCTTGTGTTGTCCCCGCCTCGCTTTTCCCTTTCAGCGGCATTATGTAGTTTTGGTATGTTATTCGCAACATGCGAGGTTGATATATAATTGATATCTCACGAACACTTCATTTCCGTTTGATATTTCCGCTATCTGACATTTACTTTAAAGTATAAAACTTTTGAAATTTTTTAACTTTTTAAAGAGACCTGAAAATAATTGGGAATAATGAAAAAGTTCATCGCTATCCGATGCAATATATTTATCGCATTGTTGTTTTATTAATCAGAGCATCCGAATTAAAAAGCATGAAATATTGTGAAAATTTTTTCGAGGAAATCTTTCAAGAATCATGTATGTGTATTTTCTCATTTATTTATTTAATTTAACGTGTTCTAAAAAAATTAATCATCATACATGATTGTTATCGATTTTTCGCGGTATTTTGATTTCGTTAGACGATATAATTGTCGATCGTGAACGGTAAAACGACGCAGATTGAAAATGATGATGGGTCCGCCTTCTCGGGACATTAGCCAGAGGGGGAGGGGGAGACTCCCTAAATTAGCACGGTATGTGGCTCCGCACGGACTTCCGTTGTGACAAATTGATGAACACACTCTGACGACTTACAAAAGATTGAATAAGGAGAGGAAAGGGAGAAAGAAAGAAAGAATAGCGTCATTGACTTGGAATTCGAGTCCTGCGTCTTCCAAGCGATTCATATTATCCTTGGTCTCGCGAGCAAAGCCACGTTCTTTTTTTTCTTCCGCTTTTTGCCATCATTTATGTATCGAAATTATCTTGCTTGAATCCATTGGTTCTTAAAAAAAAGTATTTGTACAAATTGAGGAAATAGAATATGTAGAGGAAAGAATATATATATTTTTTGCTAGTTAAATCTTGAATTCCAGTTTGTGCAATTAAGAATGTATTGAAATAATATACATATAACGAAATTATATATTTTACTTTCATATATTATATTAAAATAAATTAGTATGCTGCATTTGACGTAATTAATGCAGGAGTGACTTAAGCTTCACTATCAATAACACTAATAATTTATCATACGCGTTTTTTACTGACAACGCCTAATTTAACTCTCTCGCTTATACTTTTGAAATATTTTAAAATTATTTCTATTATATTATCACGAGCGAAAATATCAATCTTTCCATTATTGAAATAAATTAATGATGATTAATAGGACTCGAGGCGTTGGAAAAGGCGCTTTACTGCTGGGAAGACGCGCTCACTGCGTTTAGCTCGACCCTAAGCAACGATACCCTAGCTCTACCGTCGAAAGCTGATGCGGCATTCACGCACGACGTACAGGAATTACTCGACATGGGTTATCAGATTCAGAGTCACGCGGAACTGCTCTTCCTCGATCAGGTAACGGCTACTATTAACCCGGTGATGCTACGGGAATTGCCCGAAATCGTACTCGATGACTCAGCGAGAGATTCCGGTCCGGGAAGTCTGTCCTTCGCGGATCGTAGTCATCGTGCCAATGCCGTTCCATTCCGCTGGCATTCATCATCAATTTCTGTCTTTCTGCTGGTCCGGTGAAAAAAAAAGAACTGCGGGAATTAATCCAATTTAAATGATAACCGCCCCCGGGGGTAATTAGCGCAACGAGTCACTTGACCTGCCGCCGCGGCAATCGAGAATTGTCGCGGACGTTGGAATGGCATAGGAAGTGCACGACTTTCACCGAGAGTAATCTGAGTTTTCATCGTTTTCGAATATGTACAATTATATGCATATATGAAATTGTCAAAGAGTTTGTTCTGTTATTTCTTTGATATAATGTTCATTATTTATTCCTTTTTTCCTCTTTAGCACTCAGTTTTATTTCGCAATGAAAGCGAGGAGAGTCTCAATAAAACTTCGAACATCGGGACGCGGATGTCTGGCATCAGAGAAAAAGCTGATGCCGCATCATCGCCCGAATCGTTTGAATCTGCACGCGATGGGGTGAGTTGTGCAGATGAATACAATTTATTTGTAACGTGCAGAGACATATCGAGTAGCTGCAAGATGATATTAATTTGAAGCATGTAACAATATGTATAATTTCAATCTATTTTAATAAGTACAAAAGTATTTTCTCTCTATATAATTTTTTCTCTTAATATTAATTTCGAAAGGAGTAAAATAAATTAACTTATATAATTTTATGAAAATATTTTAGGTTGCAGATTTGCGGGAATTCGAAGAATTTTCAGAACTCTTTCCACATTTTGAGAAACAAAAGCTGTATCATGCTGCTCTTAAACAATATGAGGACAAAGGTATTCCTTGCAGGTAAATCATTATTGATGACTGATATAGTACTTACATATCGTATCTTTTTTATATGGTACTTACATATAGTATCTTTTTTATATGGCTACAATAATTCTCTTGCATTGTAGGAGATTGCATACGGAACTTGTAAAGTGCGGCTCAGATGTAGAATATGTAGCAAAAGTATACTGTTTACGTCAGGCCTATACAAAATTATTTAATTTACCCGCGGCGGCGGCATTTATAGCGGATATAGGTCGCCAAGTTATTAGCGATTTAATTATATATGCAGATAGGGTAAGAGAATAAATTATTTATCCGAGTAATCTGTCCGAGTAAATAAGAATATAGATTAAAAAATATTTTATTCGAAATTGATTAAGGGCAAATTTTTATTAGGATCCTAAGGACTATCTACTGCATTATGAGCGTATGTTGGAATTCTTGCAAGACGCGCGTAATCATAATATTATGGAGGAAGAATTGATCGGGCGAGGTGTCAAATGCATGAACTTCTATGATGTTCTCATCGATTTTATACTCTTAGACGCATTCGAGGATGTGGAGAAACCATTACCACCCATCAAAGCTATAGTTCAAAATAGATGGGTGTCTGCTAGTTTTAGAGAAACTGTAAGTATATACGAATTAATTTTTTCTATTCTCTCTTTCTATCCTCTCTCTTTCTGATTCTCTTCTATATAAATATAAAATAAATATAAATATAAATCACTTCAAAAATCAATTACATTTGAAGGCGATAGGAACAGCAGTGTGGTCCGCCCTCGCAGGTAAAAGAAGAATGTTGAAATATGATCGAGGCTTCTTGGCGCATTTTTATGCGATCTCTGAGCATGTTATACCAGTTCTCGCTTGGGGATTCTTAGGCTCTGAAGGCAGCCTACGTTCCACTTGTCATTACTTTAGGGATCAAGTTATCGAGTTTCTTATAGATATATTTAATTTTTTCAAGGTACGTTATACCACCGTTGACGATCTTGCCGCGGATATACTTAGGGAAATGAAATTAAGGGTAGACAATATAAATCAAAGGTTGTCTTTAGAAGGTTGCTAGTTATAAAATGTATGTACAATCGTTAGCGTAATATATTAAATTGAATTATAATTGATATATTGCAAATTATTTTGCTTGTATATGCATTAAAAATGATAGTAATGAAAAGGTTTACCTATATGTAGAAGAGAAGATGTTACAAGCATCATGTCAACAGCATCAGCTAAATTAAACCCACAATCTGATAAGGTGATGCAATATATTACTGCATTTTAATTTCCATTGCCGCACCCGTCAGTAATTATACAAAGAGTATCACTGTAATTATCACTGTAAACAGTCTATTTGAAATTATTTTATAAAGTAATGTGCACAAAAACATTGGGCACTCTTGTATTCGTCATTAATTTCAGTAAAAATTTCACATGTATATATAAAATTTCATTAAGTAGTAAATAATTTTATCAATCTTGAATAAAAATCAGTAGTCTCCGATATTCATTGTTAAACAAATAAAGAGAATAGCAATATCCAATATGGATTATATATAAATAAATATTAAATTTATAAAATAAATATTTATTTATAATTAAAAAATTAGTTCATCATGCGCACAATTAAATGTAAGACATTTATTTTCAAATTATAAGTAGATATTTTTTATTAATAAAATTATGGTATAATTTTTGTAAACATTTTATAAATATTGTATGCCATTTCTTGAAACTGTTAAAATTCTTTATTATTTGTCAATAATGTAACTTTATTTTGATGTATGTCTTTTTTTAAGTATTTTTTGGGATATTCATATTTATAATATTTGTACACATGACACTTTGTGATATTTTTTGCATTATTCAGGGAATATTGTCATTTTTATTTTAATAAAGTTTCAACATACTGTAGTATATGATAATTCAGGTGATAAATTGTAAAAGTATTTAAGACATCATATATGTATAATATAATCCTTATATATGTATGCAGATAAAAAGATGTACATTTATCTACAATTAATCTAAAAAGATCACATCTAAATTTTATCAAAATTTTTTTCGATGTTTATACTTAATTTATATTTTGCTAGATATTTTTGTTATACATAAGATATTAGCATCATAAAAAATAAGCTTCCATTAAAGTGGTGTTACAATTAAAATAGTTACCTTCTATTGTCAAAATACTTGTATGTAAATTAATAGATTGTATTCATATAATTGAATAGTTTAAAATATCAAATTATGTATTGCCAAAGTTCGTAAAGTATATTAAGAATGATCATTTAAATACTAGATTGATACTAGATTGTCTTTTGTCAACTTGGTAACATTCCGTAATAGTAATTAAATTCGGTTATATAAAATGTATATTTCATTTAAATATTTCTGAAATTTATGATTTAGTAAAATATTTTGACTTAAATACATTTCATTATTTTTATTAGAAAGAAGTGTATCTGATGATGATATACTAATTTTACATTTTTTTTATAAATATGATTTTGCAAGTAAAAATTTCTAAATATATTTTGCAGATTAATTTTTAATAAATGAAAGAAATGTCATATGTTGTATTATGTATTATGTTATACAATAGGATATTTGTTGAAGAACAAAAATATATTTATTATAACAAAATGTTGTTTTGTATAATCATGAAATAAAAACAATTTCAATAAGCTTTTATACATGAAAAATACATATTTATTTTAAACTAAATGTAACAGCATAGTTCAATTAATAATCTAAAATATAATTCAATATTAAAAAATTAAATAGTGAAAACTGAGAAGAGAAGGAGAGAGTGAAAAGAAAGAGTGAAAAGAAAGAGAGCAACTGATGAAAGAAAGAGAGCAACTCTTGGACAAAATAATCTTTTTTTCCTTTTTGGTGTAAATGCCAAAAAAATCGAAAATGCTTATTAACCAAATTGAAAGATATCAACCTCATTATCAGACTCTTCTTCATCGCTAGACGGCACGACAGGCCATATATGTTTTATGTGATTTTGGCGTTTATACTCTTCGATTTTTCCTATTATAAAAAGAAATAAAAAAAATTATATATATTTAAAACCGAAAAATAAAAAAGACAATTTATAATTTATCTTTGTATATTTATAAATAATACCAAATATAAGATATAATTACCTCCAACTTTAAAATCGTTTTTCTTGCTAACATTCTCTACATCATGTATATGATCTGCATCATATGATATAAATAAATTCTTTTCTCTAGAAATAATCAATCTTAACCATGGAAACCCTATTGATATAAAGATAATACATATATAAGTCTGTTTAAAAAAAAAATGTATGTGACACCAGAAATTATTGAGAAAATCATACATTTGAGTGTTTTCGTAAGATAAATTTTAATTTCCCTTCCAACATTTTTGTGTATTGTCTGTTCTGATATTACTGGTCCAAATAAATACAGGATGAGATAGTATTTTTTATCATTTGTTTTTGTACTGCAATGTGGACATAAAATTAGTTTGACAATTAACAGTGTGTCATATATACATATTTTTTTAGTAAATGTACAGAATACCCATTCTTTTACCAATATTAATAAAATTTTATATATAATTTGATCTTGATTTGTGTGTATGAAATACAAATATAATTAAAATTATTATAAAGGATTATAAATCAATAAAAAAGATTGAGCTTTTTAAAATAGTATAATAAAACAACCATATATACATATATAAAGAAAAAATAGAAGAAAAGAGCTCACATATAATACATATTTTATAAATTTTCAAGATCAATTTGTATCATATATTGCATATTTATGCATATCGTTATATTCCATTGGTATGATAAATTAACTAACTTTAAAAAATATCATTAAAAAAATTAGTTTATAATATTCCTACACACTAATAATTTTAATTATCATTTTTGTGAACAGCTTATCAAATTGTATAATATTAGCAATGCCTAAAATAAAGAAGTGGGTATGCTGAATATTTACCTTCTTTTTTCTGTTATTTATTACACATATAAATATGTACCTAAAGAGCAAGTAAGTATCCTCAACTCGAAGGTAATAATCAGATACATCAATTAATGGAATACGAATGACGACTGTAAGATCTGTTTGATACCAAATAATTTTTGGAGTTCTGTGATTAGAAACAAGCTGTGGGCAAATCATGGTTATATTTTTCCGTTAAAAAAAGCTCATTCAAGCGGAAGAATATATATATTTTTATTTTTTTATTTATAATAATAAATATAATCAAAATAAGAGACTTTGATTAAAATAGAAACAATGTGATGTACACATCAGTACACAAATAATATTGAAACCACACATATATATAGTACTCCTATATTGGGTCTGTTCTTTTCAGCTACACTGCTACACTAGTGCAATAAGTTAGAAAGAGACAAACAGTGCTTTCTTTCACTCTAACTAATTGCACTAGTGCAGCAGTGCAGCTGAAAAGAACAGATCCATTGCCAGTTCTGTAGAAGGAATGAGCGAAAACATTAGGCCGGGTCTACAATTTAAGACAATTAAAGACTTAAGACTTAAGAAATTGATCAATCACAGTCGAGTATGAAGAGAATACTCGACTGTGATTGGTCAATTTCTTAAGGCTTGGGGCTTAAATTGTCTATTGTAGACCCGGCCTTACGGTTTAAGTCAAAGCGACTTGTTTAAGACAAATGACTCAAAGTAAATACATGTGCGCGTATAACCTAGTAGCACATTTTCTCTTTGAATTAGGTGTCTAAAAGACCGAATGAGACAAGATCGGTTGACGGCACGATTAAACATCTTAATAAAAAAAAAATTCTCTCTGAATTAATAATCTTTGTTATAGATTTGACAAGTATTTAAGTGCGATAAAAATGATTGACTCACCGCCGGAAAAAATCAATGAAAGCGTGCTGAAATTGATAAACAACATTCATTACGGGTAAGAAAAAAATTGCATCGAACCTCAAAGGAAACATCATCTAATGAATTTTTCTATTTTAGAGATGTCAAAGGCACATATAACATCGTATTAGCTACTATTTCCGTGTTGAAAGAGATCATCAACAATACAGAATGGAATACAGCAAAGTACGGAACTTCACATCACAATTATGATGATTAATTATAGTAATATGTATCGATTTCTCTTTTTTAAGAATACATATTAATTTTTTATGTATCTTACTGATTTTGACAGAGATTTAATGGATAGTATCACACTGAATGGAAAGTATTTGATCGAGGCTCTTCCTCTTGAGGCTTCTATTGGAAATATGGTAAGAAGAACACTACAGATTATTAGGGAAGAATATATTTTGGAATTAAAAAACAAGACAGAAGAAACAGATCCTCAAGAGTCCTTGCATAAGATCCTCACTGCAGAAAATGATCAACAAATAGATTTTAATACCTCAGTGCCTTCTCTAAAATCTGCTCTTCTTGAGCACATTGTTGAATTTGAAACAGAATTGGAAACGTGGTGAGTTACATCATTAATATATCTATTTTTTAAAAAAGATACAATTTAAATCAATATTGTTTATTCAATATTGTTATATTTGTCCTTATTGTGTCAATAATTTTTTTGTCTCAAAGTTATTCTTAAAATTGTGTATTTTAAAAAGAATTAAGTAAAAGCAGAAAATTGCAATATACTTTTATTAGTTTATTATAATAATAAATTGAAATTTTGATATATGCATATATATATATATATTTATTTATTTATTTATATAAGAAATACAATTTTCATAAATCTTTCATTTATCAAGTACTGTTATTATTATATCTTTATAGTAAACAATGTTTAATGTTTGCAGCTTAGAAAATATTACAGAGCAGGCCTCAGAACATATACACTCAAATGAAATTATAATGACTATTGGGAAATCAAAGTTGGTAGAGGAGTTTTTCAAGAAAGCCGCCAGTACTAGAGCCTTCGATGTTATAGTAGCCGAGGGTGGGCCGTTTTTAAACGTAAATATGTGCTTGTTTTTAATAATAAAAATTGTTAAAAAATAATATACAGAAAAATAATGAAAAATAAAATGACAACAGGGTCACGAAATGGCAGTGAATCTGGCCAAGGCGAAGATCAAGACTACATTGATATCGGACGTGGCGATTTTCGCAATGATGTCGCGAGTTAATAAAGTCATAATAGGCACTCACACCGTTATGGCAAATGGTGGACTTCGAGCAATCTCTGGAGTGCATACAGTAGCGCAAGCCGCCAAGCATTATTCCGTTCCAGTGATGGTTTTGTTACCACTTTACAAGCTCTCACCCCTTTATCACAGTTCATATAAACAGAACGGCTTCAACAAACACGTTTCACCAATGCAGGGCGTAATCGACAGCGCTAATACACAATTACTTGAGAAAGTACACGCGTATAATCCCGTATTCGATTACGTTCCACCAGATTTAGTCACATTATTTATCTCAAACACGTAAGTTGAATTAAAAATTTAATCAAATTATTGAATCGAGTAAAAAAAAGTAAATTTAAATTTTCGTTTTCAGAGGCGGAAATGCACCATCTTACATATATAGATTGCTTAGTGAATTGTATCATCCTGATGATTATGAATTGTAAATATCTAAACCTTTATGTAAACCAATATGACCTAAATATGTATACAATATGACCTAAATATATGTAATATGACCTAAATATGTATACCTAAATATATATACAAATGTTTATAAATATGACCTAAATATATATAATATACATAAATGTTGTTTTATAAATGTAAAACATTATTTTTAAATAAATAGAAATTAGTATTTATATTTAGATATATGTAAAAAGGAAGTCAATACCAATATGAACATAGTGATTTAATGCAATACAATATAAATTTATGATTAACTATAAACTATATGCACAAAAAAGAACAAATCTTAAAATGCTATACATATGGATTCCAGTTGCTACCATCCTCAGGTTGTAAAGAGTTTGTTACTAACAAGATAACATCGACGATCCACCATACACCCATACCACCCAGTGTCAATAATTTGCCTACTGCTGTCCCAGTTTGTCCGAGACAAAATCGATCCATGCCAAGGAAACCAAGTAAAATGCTATAGAGCAGAGTTGTTGCAAAATAATGATCGCTGTATTTTATACAAGGTACACCTTCACGGTAAAATGTCCTTGCTCCAGAACATTCGATATCTGGCAGCACTGTACAAGATACTTTAGTTTTCTCAACTTCTTCATATCGAGACCCTCCAAACTAGAATTTAATTTGTAATTTACATGTTTTAGAATTATATAAATTAGAAAAATATATATAATATATACAATTAATAATATATACAATTTAATGTGTTATAAAAAAAATAGAAAATTTAGATACCTTGACACAACCAAAACCTGTCTCATCCTTGGCAGTTTTATTTCCTTTGTGATCAATTGGATCCTCACATTCTATAAATTCCTTAGATCTAAAAAAAATTGTTGAAGCATATTTTTTACTTAATACTATTAAATATCATAAAATCATCCTTAGAGACTCACAAAAATCTACACAAAACTAGAGGACCTTCAGGCCTATAGTCCAATTGCTGATCGGTGCTTTTATTTGTGCTAGCATGCACTAAACCTTTATTTTGATTCCATAGAGAACAAATAATTATCACAACAATAGCAATATATAATCTCATTTTGCAACTGACATTTTAAATCCAACTGACACTATTGACACTTCATCCATAATAGAAAGTCCTTTAAGCCTGTATTATACATTAAATTGAGACTGAAGATTGAAAATTGACCAATCAAAAGAAAGAAATTTTAGTTATTTTTGTTTTGATTGGTTAAATTCCAATTTCTAATCTCCAATCTTTAATCTTCATTCTATCTTTGTTGTTTACTGATATTGTAAAGGTGCAATTTCATTGACACTAGAAACCAGCGGCAAATTAAAATCACTAGACTTTCTCTAGATATGGCGTCAATAAAATAAAGTTCAAACAGTTTCAACTTTTTCAGTGTGTAAAGCGGCCTTTTCATTGACGCTACTTTTTAGCGTCAATAAAATTGCACTTTAACAGTTGGCAGCCCTACGAGATAGACTGTGCAGCACTGCGCGTATAAAATAAATTTGAAATCGCTTCTAGCCTAACCATCTTCACGCGATCGACTTTATTTGAATTGCACGGCATCGCATCGAATTATGATGCGGCGCCGATTTGTTCGAACGTAATTCGGGACATCGCGATGCTGTATAAGCGTCGAATGAGCACGAATTGTCACGCAAATATGATAAATCACATCTACTCACCGTTCACCGGCTGTTCCACAGGCCGCTCCACTCGCTCGTCTCGGGACGTCCCATTTCGATCTTGATGCACACGATATCATCAACGCGAACGCGCAACACTTTATTCGGCACTTCCGATATTTGCTCGCATCCGATAATCATCATCAAGGGCGCAAATAACGCGACGCGACTTCGTTCCATCTTCGCGATCGCGCTATCACTGAACTGTGAAAAATAGCTGTCGCGCACTTTCACCGACATATTATGAAAGTCGCGCGATCATCCTTGGACACTTTCGACGCTCTTTCACTCGCGATATTCGTTTAAAAACGGTTAAAAGACGCGAAAAATGCGGATGTACGACGATCCGTGTAACTGCGTATGACTCCGATTCACGTATGACGCGTATGACGTAGCAGTGACGCGTATGACGTGCAGTCACGCGCTAACATGGCGGCCGAACCAGTGCGCATTCGTTTCTGCGCATTGGTTCGGCCGCCATGTTAGCGCGTGACTGCTACGTCATACGCGTCATGCTACGTCATACGCGTCATACGTGACTCGAGTCATACGCAGTTACACGGATCGTCGTACGTCTGCATTTTTCGCGTCTTTTAACCGTTTTTATACGAATATCGCGAGTGAAAGAGCGTCGAAAGTGTCCAAGGATGATCGCGCGACTTTCATAATATGTTGGTGAAAGTGCGCGACAGCCGTTTTCGACAATTCAGTGATAGCGCGATCGCGAAGATGGAGCGAAGTCGCGTCGCGTTATTTGCGCCCTTGATGATGATTATCGGATGCGAGCGAATATCGGGAGTGCCGAATAAAGTGTCGCGCGTTCGCGTTGATGATATCGTGTGCATCAAGATCGGAATGGGACGTCCCGAGGCGAGCGAGTGGAGCGGCCTGTGGAACAGCCGGTGAACGGTGAGTAGATGTGATTTATCATATTTGCGTGACAATTCGTGCTCATTCGACGCTTATACAGCATCGCGATGTCCCGAATTACGTTCAAACAAATCGGCGCCGCATCATAATTCGATGCGATGCCGTGCAATTCAAATAAAGTCGATCGCGTGAAGATGGTTAGGCTAGAAGCGATTTCAAATTTATCGTGCGGCCTCATTGACGCTAAAAAGTAGCGTCAACCATTGGTTGAACAAAGAGGTAAGTATAGTTGCTTCATTGTTCAACCAATGGTTGACGCTACTTTTTAGCGTCAATGAGGCCGCTTTACACACTGAAAAAGTTGAAACTGTTTGAACTTTATTTTATTGACGCTATATCTAGAGAAAGTCTAGTGATTTTAATTTGGCGCTGGTTTCTAACGTCAATGAAATTGCACCTTAAGAAAATAGAATGATACGCTGTGTCGCTCTGTGTCGTTGTTGGAAAGCTCCTTGAGAGATGTCATGGCCTGCTTTTAGGTGATCCTGAAGCGATTGATCCTGAAAGCGATACTCTCTCTATGGACATTGGCACGATTTTCTTCCTATAGTATCTGGTAACACTGATTATAGGGTTTTTACTATTTTCAAAAGATGTTTGTTATGTTCAAATTTGATATGTGGAATTTATATATATATATACATATATGTTTATATGTTGTTTTATAATAATATATATATGTATATATGTTGGTTGTGTCATGCGAGAGAAAATAATTGATATAAAATAATTTTACGACCGATGTTCGTACTTATGTGCGTACTTTGGAATAATTTATGCAATTATATGAGGGGTGATGTGATATAGAGAAATTATATATAATAATAAATAATATACAAATAACTTATTTTAAAAATCATGCTATCCTTGAATCGATTGTATTCTAAGCCAGAAACTTATTTGATGTATAAACCATGCGCTAACTCAATCTTGTTCAAGAGATTCAAGTATCAATTCAATTTTAAACATTCTTCGAAGGTATATACACATCTAATGTTAAATATTATAATTTCATAATTTGTACTGAGAATTTATAAAATAAAACACTTTAACTTATGTTTACAGAAGTTATATGAAATACTTGGTGTAGCAGAAGATTGTGAGGATGAGACTTTAAGATTGGCGTTTGTACATCTGGCAAAACGATTTCATCCGGATAGTGGAACACCAGAAGCTAATGCTGTTAGATTTTCTGAAGTAAATATTATATTAATTCCTAAAATATATTTAAAAATATTTACTTTTCTTTATTATCATGCAATTGTTTAAAATAGATTCAAAGTGCCTATAGAGAAATTCGAAAAATTAGAAACATTCAGAAGGATGAAAAAATATCAGAAGTGGAAGATTTTGATATCAAGGTAACTCTTTTTTCTTATAGATGCATAAATATATATACATATGCCAATATATGCTTTTATTTTAAGCATACAGCACCACAGCATCGTCATTATTTAACCTTTGATGTAGGAGTTGGCACACCAAGCAAAAGACAACGACTACACACAATACAAAGAGCTCAAACAGCAGTTGATAATGTAATGGAACATAGATTGAAGAAACTGCAAGCTGAAGAACGCAATACATTAATTGGAATGGACAAACAAAGAGCTAAGGATATTAAAACTCGCTATGGTATGGATCGTTTAGTAGAGGACTTAATTCAAGAGGCAATGAACAAAGGTGAATTCAGTGATTTACCTGGAATGGGAAAACCATTGACCACTACAAGTGTCAGAAATCCTTATGTTGATTTTGTAACTCATAAATTAAATCAGGTATACAATAGAAATATAGAACATAAATTTTAATAGTTTGAACATCATTAATTCACTTTTACTAATTTGTAATTATAGATATTGATAGATAATGGATTCACTCCAGAATGGATACAATTGTCAAAGGAAATCAGAGAAGAAACTGAAGAATTAAAAAAGAGACTATCAGAAATACGCAATGATATAGGAGAGCTGCCATTAACTCCAGAAGATGAGTCGATATGGGAGAATAATTTGAAAAAATTTGAAACTACAACAAAGCAGATAAATAATAAAATTGATAAATACAATTTGTTGGTGCCCATACTCCAAAAACAAATGCTTCATATCAAATTAGATGAACTTGCTAAGAAAACATTATTAATACCACCTAAAACTATCAAGAAATATGGTACAAGTCACAAAGATTCGAATCTAAGTATATCTCAAGACTTGTTTAATTTTATAAGTGACTTATTTAGTAAAAAAATTACTTAAAATGTGTAATACAAATATTGTAAAATTAATTGTATATATATATATATATGTACATATACATCAAATAGTAGGATTAAGAAGAAGTAATATAGAAAATATAATTTCTACTATTTAAATTTTAATATATAATGTATATATTCTTTAATTAATTCCAACAGAGAGTGCCATCTTCTTTTAATTTTATACGACCAGTTGCCAAATACTTTAAAGCACAAGGATAAATTCGATGCTCCGCCGCCTTTACGCGTTCTTGCAGAATTTTTTCAGTATCATCCGGAAATACAGGTACTGCTTCTTGTTCGACAATTGCCCCCGAATCAATATCAACCTAATAAAATATTTATTAAGAAAATATTAAACAATGAGCTAGAACTGTCTTTCTATCTATTATAATTAAACTAAATGAAAATCTAATTTCCTCATTCTCACCTCAACAAAATGTACAGTACAACCCGACACGCGTACACGCGCCGCTAAAACGTCCTTGTGCGCGTTTGCTCCTTTGAAAGCTGGCAGAAGACTAGGATGAATATTTAACATAGCTCCTCTCCAATGTTTCACAAAGTGCTCAGAGAGAATTCGCATAAAACCAGCCAGACATACTATTTCTACTCCAGCAGCGTTAAGTTCCACATTCATGGCCGCATCAAAAGACTCGCGATTTGGATAATCACTATGTTTAATTACCTACGAATTAAATCAGTAAAAATTACAAAATATAGCATTGCAATTTTTTTTATTTATGACAAGTTAGATATATATATATATATATATATATATATATATATATATATATATATATATTAATTACCACTGTTTTAATGCCGGCTTTTTCAGCACGTTTTAATCCTTCAACTCCAGGCTTATTGGAAATCACTAAAACAATTTCTGCTCCAATGTTCTGAGACGAGTCCTGAGTGGCACTAATTAATGATTGAAGATTTGTTCCACTCCCAGATATTAGAACAGCTACTCTCTTAAGAGGTTTGCTTAATGTTTCAATCAAATTAGGAACATATTGTTTCATTTCTACCTCGAAGACTTTTTCAAAGTTTTCCACGTGTATTTTAGCCTGGCTATCTATATTAACAAATATATAAATTAAGACAATTAACGAGTTTCTGTTATATTAATAGCAAAATATTTCTTACTACAATATGTATTCACGCTTCCAATAATTACAGGAGTTTCGTCCTTTAATTTATTTAAAATTTTAGTCTTGTCTTTTTCAGAACATATCAAAACTGCGCCAATTCCACAATTAAATGTTCTTAACATTTCGTGTTTATTAATTCCACCTATTTAAAAAAAGACATATTTCAATTAACATTTGTGTCAATTATATTACGCATTTGTAATTAGAAAAAAATAAACTAATAATATACTCACCAATCGCCGCTAACCAACCAAAAATTGGTAAAATATTCCATTTGGTTGCATCTAAAGTTACACCCAAATGACTTGGTAAAATTCTTGGTATGTTTTCTATAAGACCGCCGCCAGTGATGTGCGCGAATCCTTTCACTAGATTTGTTCGTAAAGCGGGAACGACACTTTTTACGTAAATCTTTGTTGGCTGCAACAGCTCTTCGCCTGCAGCGTATACCTCTTATTACATACTGTCTTATGATATATAAACTTAATAAGAACTTAATAAGAAATCTTGTGGCTTAAAAATTTCTCTACCGATAGTTCGATTATTTCTTGAAAAAGGTGCGACATCGGAATAACTTTTATCGGCGAGTTTCAAGACTTTTCGCACCAAGCTGAAACCGTTACTGTGCACACCATTGGATGGAAGACCGATCACCACATCACCTTCCTCAATATCGTCTATTCGCGGCAGCAAGTTGCCTTTTTCAACCGCGCCCACTGCAAAGCCAGCCAAATCGTATTCTCCCTCGCGATACATGTCGGGCATTTCAGCTGTTTCTCCACCAATCTGAAAGATATGATAAATTTTTAGAAATAATCACGAAAATATTCTGAATAGATGTACACATAAATTCACACAAAAATATTAGACAGAGGTCTAAATTATGTATTGAACGTTACCAAGGAACATCCCGCTTGCCTGCAACCTTCGGCTATTCCGTTTACGACCTTCGCGGCCACTTCAACGTCGAGTTTACTGCAAGCAAAGTAATCCAGGAAAAACAATGGTTCCGCATTGTGCGCAAGGACATCGTTCACGCACATGGCAACCAAGTCTATGCCTACTGTGTCGTGTTTATCGCATTCGATCGCTATCTATAAAGGAAAGATTTCTGATTATTTATGAATATAATAGCGGATCAATTTTGATAATAATTTTATTCAAATTTGAAAGATTTACCTTTAATTTAGTACCGACACCATCGGTGCCGGAAACTAGAATAGGGTCGTTGTAACCCGCGGCTTTTACATCAAAGAGACCTCCAAATCCTCCTATAGTGCCGAGGACACCAACGCGTTTCGTAGAGCAAGTAGCTGGTTTGATGACAGATACGAGATGATCACCGGCGTCAATATTCACACCGCTAATTTTGTATGTTAAATTTCCCTTCCGCAAAATAGATCTGAAGCATTTGACAGTTAATCTTATTAATTAAAAATATTAATATAAATAAATAAATATTATTTTCTCTTTTTATGATACGAGAATGATTACAAGAATCAATCGAATGTTATATACCTAGCAATTCCTTTATGCGCAATATCCGTTCTAAATTGCTTTCCATCAAACATTATGTGGTGAGCAGCTTGGGTGGCCCTAGCTGTTGCCATTGCTAATGTAGGCGCTACATTGACAGTGATGAGGACTCTTCCACCTGTAAAATATAATACATTATAATTATTTGAATGTTTATTTAAATGTCTTTTACTGTATTATGATTACCATTAGTTACTAATTCATCTTCCGATGAAACGGCTGTGCCGCAATGAAAAACAAAGCAGTTTTCTTTACGTATTACTTCGTCAATGCCTGTTATAATTTGACCCTTGGACGAGGACGCTGGATAGCCGCGAGATGCTAAAATCACACCTACAGCAGATACATTCTCTCGCCAGGAAACAAGAGACGCATTTAAAGTTTCTTCGCAGCAAGCCTATAATTATAGATATATTAACGATGCAGAAAAACAAGATGCCATATACATATATGATTTATAACAAATTAATATTAAACCTCCATAATTGTAAACAGATCTGATGTCAACAGTGGTAACAGAACTTCTGTTTCAGGATCTCCAAATCTGCAATTAAACTCTAAGACTTTTGGACCATCTTCAGTCAGCATTAAACCAGCATACAATACACCTAAATAATATTTATATTGTATATAAATTATATACACATATAATATCTAGTATATGTAATTGTTGATAAATAAGTAACAAACCGACAAATGGAATATTTTCTTTTCTAAGTCCATTCACAGCTCTCTGGAGAATATTTATTTTCACCTGTTCATATTCTGTTTCACTTAGCAGTGGACACGGGCAATATGCACCCATTCCACCTGTGTTTGGGCCAACATCTTTATTGAAGATTCTTTTATGATCTTGTGCAGGCATCATAGGTACAACAGTTTTACCTAATTATCAATAGAGTTTAAAAAAAGACACTTATAATATTTTTCATTAAAAAAAAATACAAAATTTTACATATGCAATTTTAAATAAAATGTTACTTACCATCTGTAAAAGCAAGTACAGATACTTCTTCACCTTCCAAGAGTTCTTCGACAACAACAGTTTCACCAGCAATTCCAAATTTCTTATCGTTTAAGATTTCATCTATTGCATGACAAGCTTCCTGCTGATCTTTTGCCACTACAACACCTTTACCAGCTGCTAAACCCGAGGCTTTCACTACAAGTGCCTTAAAAGATGCACTATAACAAAGAAAAATAGGATTTTGTCTTATTAAAATATTTCTTTTTAAGAGATTCTTTACTTACGTCTTAACAAAATTCTTTGCATCTGTTGCAGATGAAAAGCTTTGCCATTTAGCTGTAGGAATATTATTTCTATCCATAAATTGCTTGGCCCAGTTTTTATTAGCTTCAATCTGGGCTGCTTGCTTCTGCGGTCCAAAACATCTCACTCCTACATTTTTTAAGTCATCTGCTAATCCCTGAGCCAAAGGATCCTCTGGTCCAACCACAACAAGATAAACATTGTTATCTTTACTCCACTTGGCAATTTCCTGTGAGAAGAATGCGATATATAAAAAAATTGAATCTAAAACAAATTATGTGTACATATATATATATATATATATATATATATATATATATATATGTGTGTATATTATTATATACCTTAGTATCTTTAATATTTAAGTCAATTAATTGTACTTTATCCACTTGTTTTATACCAGCATTCCCAGGGGCAACTAAGATTTCTCTTACCTATACCAAATAAAATGATTATTATTTAGTTTCTACATAAGATTCATCTTTGTAATTTTCATTGATCGATTCACTTACATATGGTGACTGAGACAATTTCCAACAAATGGCATGCTCCCTGCCACCGCTGCCAATCACCAAAACTGTATGCTCCATCATCTGCAAAAATGAAAGATTCACACATTTCAACTAATAATAGTCACACAAGTATTTACACATATAAATTACTTATTTGACATAATTAACACAAGTTAATCATAAATATTTATATATATAATTTTTAATTTTTCATTATGAAGCACTAATGCACAAATGTAACACATTAATATTTAAATTTCATATTTTTCGAAATAAAAACATATTTTAAGTTCTATTACTTATTAAGTTTGGCGCATTTAATTATTTATGATTTACTTTTTTTTAATCTTGCTGTCAGAATGAAAATACTGACCGGGAATATTGTTAGAAATTTTTCTGACCACACACGTGGGATGCCACAGGTGGTCGGAAGGTCGCGAATGCGCTCGCGCGACTACTCTCGTCAAAGGCGATCAACATGAGATAATTCATCACCAATCGCTTGCCTTACGCAATGGAAGCGGCTCCGCTTCGCGGGGATCCGTAATAACACGCGTTATCATACTGTGACGTAATAATAATAATATAAGAAACGCCCATGCTCAGTAAAATTATTCGAAATCGTTATCTCTTTTTTTCACATGTTACAAAATTATAACAAGATTATTATTTTCTTGCATGTATTACGAGGGATATCCATAATATATAGAGATACAAACATGATTATGACGTTACAAAATACTTATTAAGAAATTTAATGATAAACATTCTTTATTTATACACGTATGTATTTTTCAATATAATTCAATATAAGAACTGTCAAAAACTTTCTTCCGAGATTCGATAAATATCTATCCATATATTTAGATGATTATGTTGAAAATTAAATACATGTATATGTAAATAGGTTTGATTATTAGATTTGTTATAAACATTTTATAAAATTATTAATGTATTTAAATTTATTTATTTTTTTGGAAGTTCCTCGTAATTTTCTTTTTTTAATAAACTAATAAAAATTTGAGTTCTTATAAATTTGTTTGTGAAAGAAATAAGGAAAATGTAGCTTTGACACACATGTGTTATTTTAGATATTAAATTTTTATACAAATATGTTATTGCTTTGTAGGGGAGCTCGATATAATGTTCGATGATGAAATTATTTCGAGAGTGAGTTGCTGAGTTGTGAGGTCACTTACGTCAGTCTTATCGCACGATTGTTGAAACTTGTTTGTATTACAACTACATTTTCCTCGAGAATACAATCTAAATTTTTCCATTAAATTGAAAATAGCTTTAAGAATCAACGATTTCAACGAGAATTAATACAGGAATTAATTAATCATAACAAGAATTTTTTAACGTATGATAAATAACAATCAGTACAAATTAATTTTAACGTATGATAAATAACAATCAGTACAAATTAATTTATTTTGCAAAGATAATAAAAATGTATCTTATAAAAAATGTCAAAATCGATAAAAATATGGAATATTTCATTATTAAAAACCATTATTATTGAGCTTTTTCTTGAGAAAGAGACTATATAATAAATAAATTTTGATTTAAACTTTAACTCGAAAATGCAGTATAAATCGATGAAACGCTATAATGTGATATAAATTCGACCATCCATGAAGTTTGTCCGCTCGATGATATTTTGTTCGCGTGGCATTCGCATTTCTTCAGGATATACGATATATGCGACTGCGACAAGACGTAATGATCAAAGTTGCGCGACGCTATATCGTAAATAACATATTGTCCTCGAGATAATATTGTGGAGACAATCGCGTGACAAGGGTGTATCATGAATCACGGCGGATTCGTGAGCCGGTTTTGCGGATTCGCGCGTCGATTTCGCGGATCGAGGTTGTCATCGACCTCAGCCAATAAGATTCCTCCACAGTCCGAGGTAGAAGCGGCTATAGCGGCCGACATCGCGGGTGTCGCAGCATGCAAAACGTCTCCAACAGTTAGTTCTACGCTTCAACGTATACACAAGAAAATATAAACTATATAAAAATGCCTCCCCTAATTTGTAGGAAAATATAAAAATTTTCCCAAAGAATTTCTCAAATAAAAACGATATATGTTTTATATTTTAAAGAACGAATCTATTAAATGTTAATTCCATTTCATTGATAAATTATGACCTCAATCTAGCCAAAATGTCTAAGATTTATTTAGTGCAACTTGGCATATATGTTGATTGTAAAATTCTTAAATGCTCAATGTATAAAGAGGATCTCTCCTCAAGTCTTTTAAAAAATCTTTATCGGAAAGAGACCAGCGCATAAGCTTGGAGGCGGTCTGTTATTCAAAATCGTCCTTTCGTAGGCGGCAAAGCTTGCACCGAGACTACAAATTGTCCGTGTCTACCGATGGAATCCAGAAACACCAAATGTAAAGCCATACATGCAGCAATTCAGCGTGGATCTGAACAAATGCGGCACAATGGTGCTAGATGTGCTGGAATTGATCAAGGCGCAGCACGATCCGACATTGTCCTATCGGAGATCTTGTCGGGAGGGCATCTGCGGATGTTGCGCGATGAATATAGACGGTGTCAATACCTTGGCTTGCATAACGTAACAATCGTCGTTCTAAAATTTTTGCCAATATACACTCGATATAATAGAAATTTTAAAGATTTTCTGGATTTGTGATTCCTCTCTTGAGAATTTTATTAGTGTATCTTCGGTGATTTGAATATTTACGAATCGAAAACTTGGGATTTTAGAGATGCGGATATCTGAAATTTAAAGGGGGATTATGTCAATATTTTATATACTACATATATTTCCACAAAAATTACTTTTAGCAATTTTATCAAAATTTAAAGTTATTTCTAAGATAAATAACATTCGAAACTACCTGAATCATTAGAAAAGTAAAAGAATCTCCGCAACCGCTGGTAATCTATCCTCTGCCACATGCGTACGTGATCCGGGACTTGGTGCCGGACATGGAACAGTTCTTGGAACAATTTCGGCAAATTGATCCGTATTTAAAGCGGCCGGGCGAGGACAATTTCCTCGGTATGCGACAAATCTTGCAGAGTCCGAGGGATAGGAGTAAACTTGATGGCTTGTACGAATGCATAATGTGCGCGTGTTGCACGTATTCCTGTCCCCCTTATTGGTGGCTGGGTGATAAATATCTGGGACCTGCAGTTCTATTGCAGGTAACGTGGAAATAAATGCAACATCCCTCATGATAATCTTTCTATAATAATACACATACAAATATGTTAGGCATATAGATGGGTGATAGATTCACGAGATATGGCACATAAAGAGAGACTGGCAAAGCTACGAGATTTTTATTCGGTTTATCGATGCAAGACGATTTTCAATTGCACCAAGACATGCCCGAAGGTGAGTAAATCGTTACTCATTATCTTTTTTCTCATATAAGATTTTCTAGTTTCTCTAAAAGAAAAGAAGATGTATAATGTATAGATTAGTTCTATGCATGCATTTGTCGATATTTTTTCATATCTTATAGGGTTTAAATCCGGGAAAAGCGATAGCGCAGCTGAAACGTCTACTAGCAGGACTTATGAACAAAGAGAAACCAGATCTCGAGACAACACTTCCAAATCCCTGCCATGGTGAAGAGCAATATCCCTGCAGAAAGGAGTAAAAAATAAATAAATAATTAGAGACATTTGTTCGTTCTCTTTATTGTATAATGCTATCTATTATTTTGAATAAAGATGCTCCCATTTTTATAACGCGATAATAAAGTGCTTTACTAAATGAAAAGTAATATAAATCTATAATAATTATATACTTATTAGAAAATTAAACATTTCCCATGGCACTAAATGCGTGTATGAAATGTTTTATTTTTTTTTATTACTCTTAAAATTTTCAAAACAAAAATTTTATTTACTAAATCAGTACTTATATATATATATAATACTGGTTAAAATAATCTTCATAGTTGACGTTATCACACATCTATTTTATAAAGGTACTCTGTGTTATAAGTTAAATCACAAATATTGTACTCGTCAATTTAAGATATGTCAAAAAATAAAAATATTTAAATATATCGCGAAAAATATGCGTTATGTCTTATTCAACAATTTAATTATTTCGTTGTCTTATATCTCTATTTCACTGTTCTCTTTTTCATATTTAATATCAAAGTTAATCACAGATATTTACTTTGTATCTTATGTGAGATCATTATATATGAATAACTTAACCGATGAACAGAACTGTTTGAACAGAAACTGTTCTTTTTTAATAGGTAACATTAATGCCCATTGTAACATAATCAACAAGACATCAAATCCTGTCGAAAGGAAAATGCTGCTTTTTGCTCTCCTTTATACTTTTTTCTTACTCGCGAAAAATCAATGTAACATATTTTTGTCATGAACTTTCAAATATTTTCTCTCACACTAGAAATCGTGCACGTTTTATCATGATATTTGAATCATCCTCGTGGTGATTATTTAAGACGTTCAAAGGTGGCACATTCTCATCAGTTTCCACAGTTGATATCAGCTTATATACTTCTTCTCGCATATGCGAATCTCTTAACCAGGGATGTAATAAAACTCTTGTCACTGTTATACGTTTTTTTGGATCCACTGTCATCATACTTTTGATCTAGAAACGCGTGAAATTGTAATAATTAATATATATATATATATATATATATATATATATATATATAAGTATAATTGTTATTATTACATACCAGCTCTATAGCATCGCCTGATACATGCCCAAAACGCGATGATGGAAATTCGTACCTTCCACGTCTTATCTGTTGCTCTAAAGTGATATTATTGTTATGAACGTTAAAAGGAACTATGCCGCTTAAAGAAGCATATAGTATCACACCTAAACTCCAAACATCAACCTGAAAGAATTTCAATACAATGAAGACAACACTTTCATAATTTGCCACAATTATTCATTAGAAAAATGTAAATACACACTTGGTTTGTATAAGAGACACATCCTAGATTTGCCAGGATTTCAGGAGCAACATACATAGGAGTTCCACAAAATGTTTTCATCATAGTCTTGGTATCTACTAATTTTGACATACCAAAGTCTGATACTTTGACTAAAGGAGTGTCTGAATTGTTTTTCAGTAATATATTCTCTGGCTATGTAAATTTATATATATTCATTATACAATGTAATTAATACATATCGATAAAATGTTAAAAAAATAATGTTTTAACAATACCTTCAAGTCTCTATGTGTGATGCCTTGCTTATGAAGATAATGAACAGCGAGTACAACTTGATAAAATATCAATTTTGCCAATGGTTCGGATAATTTTCCCTTACTTTTTATTTTATCAAATAGTTCTCCACCTTCCATCAGTTCAAGAATAATATACATTGTTGTTGGTGTATCATAGATATCTTCCATTTGAATAATGCAAGGCTAAAACAGAAATTTTTGCTTTTTTATCAATACTTAAATTATAAAGATACGAAATGAATATGTCACAGGTATAACTTACATGCTTCAACTTCTTTAATATTTCCACTTCATTCCTGATATTAATAGAACTATTAAATCCAATATTACCATTGTTTAGGTCAATTATCTTTATAATTTTGACAGCAAATTGTTTAGAACCATCCTTTGTAAATAGTTTTCTTACTTCTCCACAAGCACCAGCTCCTAACTTGCGTCCAAGTGCATAGCTTTGCTTTAATTGCAATGGTAATTCGCAACTATTGTCAGACATAGTATTCATAAATACATAAACTGTAAAGATTATGAAAGATAGTCACTTTTGTTATCTGTATGTCTCTCATATAATTTTTATAGTAAATTCGAGTACAAAAAGTGGTTACTTGAAAATTTTTCCTGAGCTACAGCTATTTCAGAGTTATTTGTAATAATGACACGATTTCCGCGTCCAACTTTGATTTTGTCAACAAATGTTCCATTGTGACTCATATCTTCAAGATATACCACAAACTCATTACTATTATTAATACGTTCTCTGGTTATGCGAAAATGTACTTTACTGATTATATTCAAATATTTTGGCCGGAGTTCGTTATTGGTAATAATAATGTCACAGCTCATGGAGCGTCCTAAGGTATAGGATTCTCTAACTAATTCTGTAAAATAAGGCATAATATTTCTTTCAATGCTGATACATACATTTCATTATTAGATGTTGTGTTATTTCTATGTGCAGAGATATACGATCCCTACCTAGACTTCTGAAAGCTACTAGTTTGGGACAAAGTCTTCCCCAGATGACTAATGTTGGCTCTTGGGTCAATACTTCTTGCGATTGTGTCAAAGCATCTGCGTTTTGAGTATCGGGCAGACTGCAGGTGATCTGTTCTTGTGACGCCATTCTGTCTGTATTTTCATTGCGAGAAAAAAGAAGAAAGATTTATTATTCAAGAGTCGTCAGAATACAAATAACTCATTCTAGTACAATGATTTAAATAAACGAAGAAAATTCAAATGCAAGATTGAAGAAAAGAAAGACGTTCAAAAGAAACTTACTCAAAAGTAAATTTGTACTTGTTTTAATTTTAAAAAATTATAATGAAATATCGGCGTGATATTTTTCGTCAGATACACGTATGACACAACAGACAATGTTTTCTTTCGCACACGTGCTTACAGTATTGGGGATAAAGGGACAAATTTCGCGCAGGCGTAGAAGCAAACACTATTACGTCTCAATTACGTGTATATTACGTCGTTGCAATGAAGGATGTTATTAAATCCTTGTCGAAAAAAAAATGGAAAATATTAATGCTTATACTTATATAGTTTACATTAAATATATGATACGCATCATCGACATAAGTCGTAATAAAGAAGTGTCTTTTAAATTTAAGGACCCTCAATTTTGATAATTTATTACAAGTCTTAAAACAAACGCTCTATTACGTGTATGTAATTACGTGTATGTAATGTTAAAATAGGTCACGTGTTCAATGACACAATTCACGTACATCAAAATTCCAACGAGATTTGTTTTCCAACACTGAATCAAGTATCCCCTTCCACCCTAACAAAGTATCATATTCCACGAGAAAAAGGATCCTTCGTAAACACTTCTTAAAGAAATATCTGAATATCTTAGAAAATCGATAAAAATGTCATATTATTCGATGACATCGCAAAATACAAAAGATATTGTTCGTACAAGAGATGAGCAGTAACCCCCCATTTTTCAAAAATAATTCCTAATCTCTCTCCACGAAATTTTGTCTGTTTATTTTTCCAATGGCTTTTTTCAAATTGTGCGCCTTAATATTAACTTATTTTAATTAACAACACTTACCCAGTCCCTAATCGTTCGGATTTCTCGATTTATAGCGGCCGCCAAGATTTTCACGTGTTCCCTCTTTCATAATCTGCGTATACCACTCTTACATTACCTCATATATGAGATATGAGATTTGTGTAGGTGAATTTCTTGCCTGTTTGTTTTTTCCTCTTTCTTTCTCTCCAACTTCCGAATGTATGTCTATCTTATTTTATCCCATTCTAATTCAGCTACAAAGAATAATACACACTGCCACTGCGCATGCGCGATAAAATGAAGTATCTCTCAATGTATTTGTTTTTGCGATGTAATTTTACATCGATAAATGAGAATCGATATTACCAATTGTAGATAACGTGTGATCTTTATTATCGACAGTTATTAAATAAAACAATTATGTATTCTCTCATTATGATATATCCCTTCAATCAATTAAAATCAGATAAGATTTATAATAATTTTTTAAAATATACTTAATATTAAAACTAACCTAACAATCTTTTTAATTGATTGAAAGGAAAGTACTATAGCAATTATATACATATATTGTTTCTTAAGTAATGAGATTTTATCTTTTCTATGCTTAAAATTATAAATTGTTTTTCTTTTGAAAGATATTTACAAATTATTGAAATTAAAGAAATCAATATTAATACATATTATCGCAATTTGTTGTAATCTCTGTTAAAACCTTGATAAAACATATTTATTTTTCTACGAGGAACTTTTAATTTTTTATAGGATCTTAATAAATGTCTGCCGATTGTATATATCACAAATGACGAAGGGAACTTTATTATAAATCTACTTGTTGGTATCATTTCCCAAGCAGGTAGAAAGCAAGTCACAGAAGCTATCATGAATCTTATGAAAGGCGCGACAGCTACACATAATTTTTTTAAATTACATCATCTCTACGTATAAACACGCACAATAGATGTTTGGTATGCGTTTAACTTACAATACTACATTGCTCTAATAATTTTTGTCCTATTATACTATATAAAATACTGTCATGCGTGTAGATTAATATGTATTGCAAAGTTGGGAAAATTCTTAAATCTACTGCTCGATGAGAACTACAGAAATTCTAGCCGAAAATTAACAGAAATATTACGCATTCGATTAATATACGCAGATTAATACGAGAAATCTGCAATGTCGGAAAAAGAAATGCCGGCTTTAAGAACCAGTATGCGAATCATAGGTGATGATATGTAACATACGATCTCACACAACTTATAGTGACAACTCTGTTTATTATTCATCAAAATAATTTAGTACCACATTAATTGAGGAGGTATCTCTTCTCAGGGGTTTGTATTTGTTTTATATTCGGCCCTGAAGGCCGAACATGGGAGAAACAGTAGGAAAAGACGATTAATAAATGTTTGAAAAATCAATCTTAATTAAGCGATTATCGATTAATAATTTACACGTATTTTTCATACACGTGTGTGATTATTCCTTTTTATCGATTGCCTGAACATTGGACGCATGTGTGTTTGTATGTGTGTGTGGTCAATCAATCGTTAACTTTGTATTTCTCTGAAGTTTATTCTCTTATTTTCCTTCTACCGTCTAAATTATGTCTGCGCGCTATCACTAATAATAGTTAAAACTAAAAGATACAACTAGTACCAATACACACCTCTTTCTTCACTTGGGATCCACGCAATGAACTATATGCTGCCAAACTTTTAGATGCATTATGCGTTGCATTAAATCATTTTCCATCTCTTCTCTTCGTTTTATTTGAACATTTTTAAATTTCAATTGTTGCACTCTCTAAATTCGGCTGTGCGTCTATTGTAACATTATTAATAATACACAGTGAATTTGGACGTACACGAGTACACAAGTCTATTTTTCATTGTCGCCATTTTTCGTCTCGATTATTCTTCAAGTCTCATTAGATAAGAATCTCTCGATTTTCTTCAAGTGTATGTTTCATTTGAGAAAATAAATAAATATTAAGTGCATATATGTACGTTTGTAAAATTCATCGATTTGACATCTTTTGTCTTTATGAGATTCGATTATACGTAAATGTATGTAATGTATAATGGAATTCACATTGCGGGGACACGCATTTCGATGAAAAAAAGAATCTGATTTATACATTTAGACATGTAACAATATATTTATTTATCCGATTGAGAGACAGAATTTTTTGGCATACTGTTTTTTTTTTATCTATACCATTGTCATTTTATTTGCGACGTTACACATTACGTGTGTCCCGTAAAATAAATTTTTATCAATGCGGCAGACATATGATATATAACAACTCAATATCTATCCAAATACACGCGCGAGTTGACATTAGACGAGACCATTGACGCTCAGTACTTTGCATAATACAAAGCAATACGCGTCTATGCGTGTAATATGTTTATATATTTGTGTATATATATTTATATATATATTCATATATGAGTAAAGAAGGAGCGGAGCATTTTTTTCGTTCTTTATTCTTTCTAGAAGAACTCTCGAGGAGAGCGCGCGAATATAAATGACAACGAATTTAATGACCGTCGTGTACATAGTTTGCGCGAAGATGGACACCACAGCCGAAATTTTTGCCACCGTCAATAGAGGACTGAAGAGATTCAATTTCTCTTACGCAAGATCATAATCGAGGAGGACGATCTTCTCTCTTTTTCCTTTTTCATGTATGTGTGATCAGTTGTAATACTTTAACAGATACATTGTATAAGCACAGGATTGCGAAGAGAGGATAAGAGAAAATAAAAAAAGGAGTTATACTCGTCATCGACATCGAATTTCGCGCTGCTTAAAGACACGTATTATGTACAAAATAATGCACTATAATTGCACAACTGTCTAAAGGAATATAACTCTTGTAATTGTATATGGCATTAATACCCCCCTCCCTTTCCCCTCTCTCCATCTATTCCGCGTTCGTAGATAATCCGTAATGCGAACTCGTGGGAGCGTCCTCTCGATCATTTGACCCTTACGACTGTCTCTCGATTCACTCTCCTCGAATAGTGCAGTTCATTGCCGTAAAACGATGTATTGTAATATAATCACTAATTATACTTTATTATAAATTAATTAAAGAGTTCTTAATCATACGTGTTTATGTGTGTGGTTTATGTATAATAATAATAATATTAATATTAATAGCATATGTACGATAGCTTTTGTAGCAGCTTACTCTTTCGGCCGATTCCATTAAAATGGACGCGTGTTCGTCTTTTCTCTCATTTTCATACTCCCGTTCTCTTCCGTTCGCGATGTCTGACGGAAAATCTAAAATTCGGTGACTAGCGGCACTCCCAGATCTTCACCGTTTGATCAACGCTCCCGGTGACAACGTAAGGATGATTTTTGTGGAAATCTACAAGAAGCGAGTACAATATTATCGAGAATAAATTCTTTCATTTATCTATATAAGAATAATAAGAAATTACTCGTAAATAAAGCATGTTTTGCAAATTGAAAACGCAAGGAAACGTAGTAAGGGACAAATATACAAACCGACAGAAGTGCAGAAGTGAACGTGCGCTTCAAGGGTCTTCATCACTCGTTTGTTGCGCGTATCCCAGACTCGCAGCGTTTTATCGTCGGACGCGCTGACGATAAACTTGCCACCAGGATGGAAGACGATGCATCGCACCCAGTTGTCGTGTCCAATGAGAGTGAAGAGACACACTCCGGCGGCGACGTCCCATACGCGAATCGTTTTATCCCGAGAGCCGGACGCGAGGAAAGGTCCCTCGTGCGCGCCCTTGTTATCCGCTCCGGCTGCCGCGTTAATCGACGCTCTCGCGCTTTCCGGCGCCCATGCAATGCATTCGACTACATGTTCGTGTTCTCTAAACTCGACCTGACATTGAATGATTTTATTATGAATATAAATATTGTATTATAATTATCTAGAAACGGACAAAAATGTATGTCTCGTCGAATTACCTTTGTCTCTTTCGTGGCTACGTGCCACACTCGTACAGTCTGATCGTTTGAGCAGCTAGCGATGAGCTCGCCACATGGGCTAACTCGTGCCATTCTCACCCATTCTCTATGCCCGGTGAGCGTCTTCACGCAGTAACCGGTCGCTACTTCCCAGATCTTGATAGTCTTATCCCTAGAGGCGCTCACTACGAAGTCACCCTGTGGCACAAACGCGACCGAGTTGACGTTATGATCGTGGCCGTGCATGGTCTTGACGCAGGCGAACGACTGGTGGAAATCCCACAATTTGATGGACATGTCCGCGCTACAGGAGGCGAGCAATTTGCCCGAGGCATCGAACGCGATGTCTTGTACGCTGTCGGTGTGACCTTTTAGCGTTCTCTCAAAGTCGCCGCTCTCGAAGTCCCATACCTTTTAAGGAAGAGAATAGAGAATAAGCGTAAAAAATATAAATGTTTCTCGAGAAATGCGATAAACGTAAATTGCCCTCACCTTAATGGTGGCATCTTCGCTGGCTGATACTATGAGACTAAAAACAGGATGGAAAATAACTCTATTAATGGGGGCTCTGTGTCCGGTCAAACTGAACTTTTCCGGCGGCCTCGGTATCCATTCGGACGGTGATCTCTTACCACGCGTCGGTGCGCCTTCTATAAATTCTTTTTCAGCTTCGGAGAGTTTAGATTCCAATTCCATTACCTACAATTTTGTTATATGCCATTCAAAAGGTTACTTAGCTAACTCAACAATAAATAGGAATAAATCCTTTTGCGACAACAGCATCAAAAGAAAGAGAAAGAGAGAATATTTGTCAATTTTCTTAAATGAAAGAAATTTTATACCTTCTTCTGCAATCGTATGACCGAGGTCCACTTCTTTTCCAAAAGACCGCCGTACTTCCTCTCCACTTCTCCTGGCATATCGGCTTCCTTTTTAAATGCCTCCAGTGCATCTTGATAGCCATTAGTGCTAAGATAGTCCGCAATCGCCTTATTTCTGAAAGCATCAATTTGCATTTATAAGTCAAGTATAAAAGTAACTGTTTCTTCTCTATTTTCATAAATTGTTCTTTTATTAGTCAAATAAATAATTAAAATCTCGAGAAAAAATTTGTCAAACTTTATCGTTTGCGACGATCTCATTCACATGCCCTTTCTCGCCAGGTACCGCTGCAAATGAATTAAAAGAAAATAACAGAGAGAGAGAGATGTAGCGATAGCTTTAATCTCCAATTGTTTCGCGTCGGCCTCCTGTTTATGACGTAGAGATAAAGATAAAACGTCGGATAAAACCTGCGATCTGGCACAATAGAAGACGGGGGAAGAGGCCGTAAGGCAGGTGTTGGATACGTGGGAAAGAGATTGAAAGTCGGGCAAACTTGTATGCCAGGGTGAAAGGCCTCGAGTCGGCCATTCGTCTCTATTCACCTGACTTTTCTCCACGTGATGGCAAATTATCGCTCGCGGGCCTCGCAATCTTTGTTTTGCGATTAACGCGTGACGTGCAGGGGCGACTCGTTCTAAACGTATGTAATCGAACGAAAAAGGGGAAAAACGAACCTGTCTTAACGAGAAGTGTTGCAATCGCTGAATCACGTGTCAATGTACTAAACTGGTTTGACATTCATTCTAATGAATGAGAGAAAATTCATTCTGACTCTACAGCATGATTCAAAAGTTTCTTGAGAGCAATACAAGTATTTATATATTGCAATAATACAGATAATGATAAAAACCACTGATATATCTTTGTATCTCACTGTGTTAAATTAAATATTTAACGTATATAAAATTTTTGACAGACAATAGAAAAATTCTTATAATAAATTAAAAGTATCATGTTATAAAACACTCTTGGGATCACTTAAGAATAAACTAATACGATTATCTATTAACTGATAGAACAAATTAGGAGTTGGCTTTTCTTGACACAATCGATACTGAGCTAATATAGACTCAAGTAATAAAGTTCCAATAACTTAGCCGAAGATTAGAAGCTCTAAAAGATGAAGAAATAGTTCTAAATGCTATAAAAAAACATCGATATATATATATCAATAATTTCGTACTTTTCGAGAGAAAAAAAATTCATAATTTATGAAACTTATAGTGTACTAAATTTAGAACGCTGTAGTCACACCGTAATGCCACAATCTGCGTAGTTAATTATATGTAATTTGCGGAAAATTAAGAAGGAATCCGCAAAGGTGGATAATGACAGAGGTGAAAAATTCATAAGCTTATAGAGCGCGGTGTGAGAAATTTTATATCACACACGCACAATATGCTAGCGGCAGATGCTATTTGCTGCAGGTATGGAAGTAGGCAGGTAGAAGAATGATTCGAGAGAGGCAGACAGGTAGCTTTCATTGTGAGGGCGGAAGGTGACCCGTCACCGCTACTTGAATTCTTCTTGCGAAGGCTTCTCCTCGAGTTCGCGCGGGAATGAAATGGGAAACGAGGAAGATCTCGAGCCAAGTTTCTCTCTGAAAAAAATAAGAAACGAAAGTAGAGTTTAGATATTCGTTATAACGGCTGTATCCGTGCGAAAGTCATGGCATTCGAAATTCATTTCGTCGATACGAGCGATGATCGATAGGAACGAACGAGAACGAGGTTTAATTTATTCCGAGCTACAGATGGAATTTGTTAGGAATATCTCGAACTGTAGGCTTAGGATATATTTACTCACGATTCATTTGCTAATGATGATGGGACTGAAAATATTTTTCTTCATAATCGAGGGCATGTAAAGACGAGAAGACATTTAGTCTTGTTATGTCTTTCTTGAGTTTTTCGTTTTTTTAAAAATTCCCAAAAATCTTGAAAATGAATATCTACAACAATCAACTAAACTCATGTCATTTTCTGATCATTTCCCTCCCTTCTCGTTATATAAATTAAAAATTATATAATGACATTTCCAGAGATGCTTTTGTATATAATGATCTAAAAGTAAAATCTTTAGATGTTTCTTTAGACACAACAGCATAGTTGTTTCTTTCTTTGCGAGGGGTAGATCAAACCGTGATATTTTAAAATAATGTCCTTGCTCTTTAATCTAAAGATGATTCACATGAAAATAAACGGAAAATATTAATAAATTAGACGGAAGGTAATTTATTCCTTCTGGTTCTTTGCACAAATAGACGCTATTAATGTAAAACTGTAATTCGCTATTTAAGCTTCGAGTAAACATATCAAATTGATTTCCCTCAACCTGCAAACTTCTCCTATTATATACATGTAAATCAGATTTCGAGATGTGCAAAAATAATTTTTCTTATTTTAGCCTTTTGAGACTTTATAACAATCTTTCAGTATTTTCACTTTTTCAAAAATATGAAATATTTATTATATTTATTTTTATATTAGTACTATATGCGACGATATTATAAATATCATAATTATCTCTACAACTAAATTTAAGAAAATAATAAAAGAGCTTCGATAAAGCTGGAGTGTCTAAAGAGAATCTCACAAAGACATCTAAAGGTTGAAAGGTCAATTCATATTACAGAATAATATACATGGGATACTGACTATCCGCACGACACGAAAAACTACAAGTATCCACCTGGCGAAAGTTCCCCTGTTATAAACGCTAATTGCCTTTCTCTCTAGTGCACCCTCGTATCATTTTACAGGGAGTCCGAAAATGAGAGACGCGCAACCTCCAGAGAGAAGTCGCGGAGGGCGTTCTATCTAAATCCAAGGTGGAAAACAACATGGATGCGACGACCCGACACCTGTGCTGATCGATGAGAGGTCTCTCCCTCTTAGCCAGCTGGCGGGGGAGCCAGTTTCCTCTCTCGTTCTCCTTCTCGTTCCGCTCTAAAGGTTCCACCGTCGCCGATTCGTCCTATCGATCGCGCGGTACGCGCGTGCTCCCTCGACGGACACCCTCACCACCGGCCGTCATCCCCCCGAACATCCCGCCCCAACAGGATCGACGAGAGATTTTGCGTCATAAGAATTAACTGGCATAGATCGGAGGACGAGATCGATGCTCGACGCATCGTCGTGGGGTTGTGGTATACGTGGAGCGCTCACACAAGGAAGGCGAAAACGGAATTAATTATAAATTGTCGCCTGAATAATCCAAGAGCACGATTCGAAGGGTCGTGCAATTCGATTCCCGTGGAAATTCCGATACTTTCAAGTGAAAGAAAAAAATCGAGAAATTCTAATAATAATTTCCACGGAATCTTACCAACGAAATGTATATTTCTATAATTTTGATATCAAACTTATCGTAAACATGTTTCAAACATATGTTCCTCGATTTAGACGAGAGGAAAGCGAGATTTGATTGCCTCAATATTCCGCAATATTGAGGACGAGAAGAGAAATGATCAGAGTGTCGCGCAAAAACGCGTGTTGCGTCGAGAGATAAGGATGAATTAGGGACATGGCGAGATAATGACAGCGATTGGCGTTCGATTCTCTCGCACGACAGCGCTCGGACAGGAAATACAGTCACACACGCGCGGAGCGAGTGCCCGCGAGAGCCGAAGAACTCTCGCGGATCGTTATTCACTCGGTTATTCGAATGACTCACGTCCACGTCGGGTTTCTCTCCTGCGTGAAATCGAAGACTGGAGGCATGGGAAAATTCAAGAGCGTCTCCCACACGGTTTATGCGCCCACGATTATGCAAAATAGAACGAACTAATTACATAGTTTGCTTATTAACACCCAATGCCAATTAATAATGCCAAGGTAGCTCGAACGATTATCGCATAGTAATGTAATGACATTCCTAGTATGCATAATAGTGAGGTATAATGTGTATTTTGTTTGTTTACAAATTACAGAATATGTAAATAACCAAACAATATTTATTTATTTATCTATTCATTATATTTTAAAATACTTTTGATGAAATTTTCTTTTCTTCTTTTAGCTAAATATACCTAGGAAATCTTAAAATCTATGATTGAGCTATTCAACCAATGAAATGATCGCATTAGGATAGATTTAAGAAATTCTCTAGTCTTAAGATTTGAGAAACGACTATGAATTCGGACCTGAGAGATTTTCTCTGATAAATTTTAGTATTTGCAGATTTTAAGATTTCCTAGGCTAAAAGAAAATTTCATCAAAAGTATTTTAAAATATAATGAATAGATAAATAAATAAATATTGCGAGATTTCAGAAATTCTTTCTCATGCATTCTAGGAATATATCTGCGAAAAGAAAGATTGTGGAAACAATATGCATCCCATTTGTGCAAAATAGATAAAAAGCAGGTTGAATGTTGTGAGAGAATTTTAGCGTAGGTGGATAAATAGTACGTAGGCGGTGCGAGATACACGAAGGGGAAGCCTTGCATATTTCCTCGATTGATCCGTTCCCGGACTGCAGCACGCGTTCGCGTGCACCACCCCCGCGGACGTAGAAAGAGACGTAGATGTAGAACGCATTTCCAGAAGAGAATAGGGGAGCTTGGCGTGCGTCAAATGTGCGCGGAAACGTGGAGATCGTTGAATGATAGCGCTGATCGAAATTATCGACGAGAGACGAGTTTCATCGAGAGACTTACAGCTCCTCCCTCTGACGTTGAGACAGCACCATTTTCATGATCCTCGGTGTGTGACCCGTCTGGATACCTCGATGGTGATTCCGCGGAGCCGCGAGTAGGTCTTCCAGTCACCTCTCAACGACTTCAGTGCCGCGTCATCGGCATCGCCTGTGACAGAAATTATGTTACGCATCATTCTTACATTTGAATTGTAATTGATAATTTGTTTCAGGAAAAAAAACTTGACAAATTACTTTGTAAGATATATTAATGCAAAAAGGCAAGGTATAATAATAAAGGTTTTTTTGACGTATCAGAATATTATTCTCAATCATACGAAATTACTCCAAGAGAAAAAATTCCGTGGCGAACAGTTGATTCACCTGCTGCCATGTTCCTATTAATTTCCTATGACCTGGCCATACATCGTATTAGTCCTATGTATTTTTTCATCGCGGGGAAGGAAACTTTAAGAACGACGATAGATTCGTGAGAGCTATTTCCGCGGATATAACGCGCGCAATATATACGTGCCTGAAATCAATGTGTCGCGTGGTTTATTTTACTTTCCATCGTCGCGGGAGAAATCAGCAGATTGAATCAGTGTCGCTCGTCTCGGAGCCGAGCTTCGTGTCGCTCGCACGAAAGCGGTCGCTTTCGTGATAAGCTCAGCCGGCATGATTTTGCCAGATCGATAACACTTTTTTCATCGCGCTGCATCAAGGGTGCACGAAAGGGAAAGGGAAGGCTTGAAAAGTGAAGCACGCTATCACGATGATGACGCGACGGAATGCTTTTATGAGAGCACGGTCGCGGTGTTGCTTTACCCGGAATCGGAAGTATCGACAATCAACCGCGCTAAATGAGTATCCGTGTTCAAAGTATATCAATTGTCGAGCGTTATCTGCTGCAAAAGTAGAAAAAAATTAAATTTGAATATTTTGTTCTTTACTGAAAAAATAATCAATAGGGTGAGCCACGTAACTTGACTGCCATGAATATTTAAAAGAAAAAAAATTCCCTTTTAATTTTCAAAAGAAAAAAAATATACTGCTGGACAAAATTAATTTTTCGTTAAAATTTAAATATCAATTTTTAAAGAAAAAGTGAAAAAAAAATTGCGTTAATTTTGTCCAGGAGTATATATATTATAGATTTTCGGTTTTCTATATTATATTATTCGAAACGATAAAAACTGATGTATTAATTTAAATTAAATTGATGTAATCTGGATTAATAACAGAAACAATGGAGATAATATAATCGAATAATATAATTATAATTAAATCCTGCATTTATAATATGTTGAAATGATGACGTTATAACAAATTTCTCACGATGACAAATTTTAATTTCTTCTCAATGCAATAATTATGTTAAAAAATACTATAAATATAAACCATATAAATAATTTTAAACTAAATATATATAATAATTTTACAATATTAAAATAATCGATTAATACGATTAATCACGCGTTCATAATGTATGTATACAGCTGTCAAGTAATAATAATTTTTTCGCGCCTTGACACATTTTAATTTTTCCAATACGATCATTGAAAGGCAGAGTGGATAATTTTTTACAGATCGCGCACGATAAGATTCCAAATTATACCTAAATCCAAAGTGAATCGAGCTCCCCGAATAAGGAAACAATTCGGAGGAAGGACCTTGAGGGGTTGTAAAGGCATGCGTCGGCGCAGGACGTCGCGACGCTTCCACGGTGATGGTTATCCGTCGCGCGATGCGCCGTGATCGATAAACCGCGCGAGGGCAGCCCGCCCACCCCTTTCCACCCCCACCCCCACCCCCTCTCCCTCCGACGCGGCGGTCGCGGCGTATATTTTCGCCTTGCGGTGCATTTAAATATTCATAACAGGCCTCTTTCTACTTCACGGCATTGCTGTAACGTTAAGCAGCGTGTTATGCGATCGAGATTGAGGAGCGAGAAGTAGTCTCTACGTTACAGATACGGAAAAACTCCTTGATCTTTCTGAAACTTCTGATGATATATGTGTAATAATAATGATAACGTATTATATAAAATTCTATAAATTATATAATTGAAACTTGAATCAACTGCTGAATTTATAAAAATTTTAATAAATTAATTATATATATTTAATATATATAATGTAATATTATATATTATATATAATTTAATCTTTTGAAGATAAATTTATCTTGGAAAAAATGTTTTAAATATTAGAGAAAAAAAATATATGAAAATGGAATAAAAATAATTCGATAATATGCGTATCTTTCATTGAAATATAAATAATAGTATTAATCATACAAGATTATGATATACTTTGTTCGAAAAACAAAGAATCTTGGATTGCACGCGTCGTTGCGTATAAATGCACGCGACGCGGTTGCGACGCCGATGAAAAGTTGAAAGTAACCGCATATAAATAAGAAATACACATAATTTACGATATTCTTGTTGCAAATACGTTCACAATAATATGCAGAAATTCTTTTCGGAGTTTTTGTTCAATCCTGAGTGGTCAAGAATCCTTGGCGAAAATTAAGAGATCTTCGCGAAAACATTGTTATTTTTCTTTTTCGTAGATTATGATATAAAGTTTTATAACAATAAATCGCGCGCAAATAATTTTTCGAAATTAAAATTATTAGAAAGTCTAATTTTTTTCAATAAATTATTCACATATTTCTTTTCTTATGTAAACAAATATTTTTTATAAATAAATTAATTTTTTTCAATTTTTACACATGTTGAATTTGCAATAATTCATTTTAAGAGAAATAAATTTGGTAGCGATTCATCTCTAGTGTTTTGTATTTTTATGCGAATGATTTGTTTACATACCTGAATAAAAAATGTAGTAAAGTAACAGAAGCTGCATAAAACGCGTGACGCAATCGTAAATTCTTATCACTGAATCAATGGGCTTTCTATACCGTTGTTGATCGATCTCTCGATCGTATTAAAGTTCGCTCTGTTATATCATCGGTCCAGGTGAGTGACTGTCGACTTTTTCTTGACCTCGCGAGACACTTCGATTTGTTTTACGCTACGCTTGTCGATTAATTTACTTACACACGATGACGCATAAAAATGCCATCTGATAAATAGAGATCAATCAATCGATTAGGTCGCTATTGACGCAGGGAAAGCGGTCTATCTTGAAATCATACTCTAATCGATCCTTAAACTTTCACGATAGAGAGCCCCGTCTAACGGAAACCGGTTACAGGAACTGTCATCGCGTGACACACCAATAAAACCACGTACATATCTTGGTCATATCAAGGTTTACATTTATTTAGAGCCTTAAGGTACAACTACAGTCGATTATTTAAATGAGACAAAGGTCGAATTTAATGAGGAATTAAGAGGAATTATTTTATTAATTTGACGCGACCGAGCTCGAATTTTTTTGTCATTTTGCGTTAATTCTACTCCGAATTAATTAACGTGCGCGAAATTTGAGACAATCAAAGTCCGAATCTCTTGTTCGCGAATCGTCGCAATTTAATTATAGCTATTGCAAGATTCATTCAATCGATCGTGCAATTAAGCAAGACACTCTTGGCAACGCAACTGCAATATAAAAAAATAAAACTAACGCGGAAGTAGGAGTCAAGAGGTCAACACTTTCTACAAAATAACGTTTGTCCAGAATCGTGAATTTGTCGCAAGGAATTTAAGCCATGAGAAAAAAAACGATAAATAATATACGCAATATGCAGTACGCAGGGCGAGTAGTAGACCGGAAAAGCATTGACCGAGGATGGTGGCATCGACCACCCTGCGAGGCCGAAACAACTTCGATTGAACTCCAACATAAGGTCTTAAAGTTACTCGGGGAAATTGAAGATATTCCGAGAAACTGCTCTTATATCATCACGCTAATATTACGCGAGACAAACGTGAAGATTGTGAAAAGGATTGCTCGAAAAATCTCCTCGAATCTCGATTCATGAACGAAGTGACATCGGTAATTAATATCCCAAAGATCTCTAATTGCTCGATCGACAGGTAGAAACAGAAGGAGAAAGACAGGGGAAGAGAGAGAGAGAAAGAAAGAGAAAGAAAGAGAGAACGGAGTCGCGCGATGACAGCTGATCGCGCATTATCAGAGTCGTCTGTCAAAAGTGCTCGCGTATCATTCGCTCGAAACGCCCGGATAAGATAAGGACGCGCCGCGGGAGATCCCTGCCGAAGGATAGCGAAACGCGGCAAGGGCGCGGATCGCCATCGTCACGGCGCGCACCTCGTCGCGGCGAAAAAATCAATTCGCGTTCGGTGACGTGCGACGCGCGAGGGCTCATCCGGAGAGAGAGCCTTCGCGCCGCGGGCTGTCGGGATGACGATGACGATGACGATGACGTTCGGACGTTCGTCGCGACGTCGGGAAGCTGCATCGTCGCGCAAATGATACGTAAATGCCGGGAGGTCGAGCGAGCGCGCGATACGCTCGTAATCGCGTTTGTTGTAGATCGCGCGCGGCCATTTTGCCAGAACCCGTCATCCAGTCGGGGCCGCCGTCGGCCGCTTCTCGGCCGCCGCGAACTCCAAGGAGGATCCGCGGCGCTTTTCTCTCGGCCCCGCGCCGAGTACTCTCGCGGATACTCACTTCTGTTTCACGCAGCAGCAGCAACAGAGGGGGATGGACGACGAGGCCTGAGGCGACGACGAGGCGAAATTTATACGCGTGAAAACCGGGCAAGCGCGACTATCGATGAACACCTCGGGATCACTTCTGCGATCGGACTGGGCCCCGCGAGGTGGCGTCTGCGCATTTCCGGCGCATGCGCCGGCGCCGCCGCCGACGCCATCGCTCGGCGCGTCATCCCCGACCGCCGCGGGAACCTCCGCGCCCTCTGGCGGAGGGATTTAAAATCATTTTAAGTGATTCCAACGATTCCAATCGTAGATGGCGCTAGTCATCTTTCTGTATCATGAGAATTATAGGTTTTTTTTATCGATCGATATTTAACGGAAGAAGCGCGCGTCCGAATTCTATTCAGCAGATTTTATTTGGTAACAATGCAAAAAATCAATTAATCATGCATCTAATGTAAATAATGCGGTAATATTAGATACTTGATTTTTCGATTTTTTTATACCTCGTAAAATTATGCAGATTTACGTACGTGTATGTGTGTGTACGGACCTTTAAATTCATTGAGTTTACCATCTGATTTTTGACAAGTTAATGATCTTTCTCGAAAAATATTCAAAGAGGTTAATATTTAATAAATAACGACATAATCTGGGATAATCTTCGTAATATAATCACCACATTAGCTTGATATTTACCAATCGTTGAATTACTTATGTAAATTTCATGGCTTATTCGCAATCGAACTCGAGAGGTAATCTTGACACAAATATATGCAAAATATATATATTTTTTGTATCACTTAGTGCATTAGAATATTCTCATTTTGATTTTTGTTGTAGAATTACAAAATAGGAAGATCTTAGAAGAGATACAATTGAAAAAGCAGATGCTATTAAAGCAAGGAGTTGCACCGACTTTAAACTCATCATTGGGCGTTTCATCAACAGGTTCTGCATCAAGTATAGTGAGTATATATCTATTTAATTAAAGACAATCTTTGTTATCTCCTAACTTTAGCTTGATGACATGTATCTTTATTATTATAGCCTGCGATACAATCTAATGATGGTGTGGCGATGAGTGCATCTCAAAGAGCAGCTTTACACAACGCACACGCGGCCTCATTCGGTTACTTTGTGACGCAGGATTCTTCTTTTGGAAATCTGATATTACCAGTTCTCCCTAGATTTGATAGTAAATGAATTACTATTCGTAAAGATATTCAAATGTATGTAAATAGTACTAAATATTACTGAAGACTGTATGTAAATAATATTAATGAAAGAGGATTATTGAATGGGAATCATTTTTATAAGTACTTGTTGGATAAACTTCTGTGGAGAAAAATTGCAACTGACAGTTTTTGAAGAGATGGCTAGTCTTCGACTTCGTCAATTAGAAGAGTATCTTCAACAAATGGATGTGTTTGAAAAGCCAAAAATCTTACTCGAACAATATGCCACTAGCGCACACATTGCCTCACATATGTTGTACAATGCGCAATCGCAATTTAATGATATAGAAGGTAAAAGCGTAGCAGATTTGGGCTCTGGATGTGGTATATTATCACTAGGTGCTAAAATGCTCGGCGCACAATACGTAGTTGGATTTGAAATAGATTCAGATGCAATCGACATACAATATAGAAATTGCACAGACATAGAACTCTTTGTCGAAATTGTTCAATGTAATGTGCTGCAATATTTACCAGGTATGCATATAAGTTTTTTTTATTTGTATTTATTAAAAGTACAAAGATATATACAATGCAATGTCTGTTGTGTTATAGGAAAATTTGAAAAGTGCTTTGATACTGTTATAATGAATCCACCTTTTGGCACTAAAAATAATGCCGGCACCGACATGAAATTTCTCGAGGTGGCAATGAAACTTTCGTCCAACGTAGTTTACTCGCTGCACAAGAGCAGCACGCGAGATTACGTTCTTTCGAAGGCGACACAGCTCGGCGCCGAAGGAAAGGTGATAGCGGAACTTAGATACGATCTACCGAGGGCTTACAAATTCCACAAGAAAGCTTCCGTTGATATACAGGTGGATTTCATACGATTTGAATTGAAGCGCTGATCTTTTCTTCCCGAGGTCAACCCAGTCAATTTATTCGAACTTGATGCCCTGAGCTAGAGGAAGTTCGTTCCCGTGATTGATCGTGATTGTCGCGCGTCGCATGTAATGCTTCCACGCATCGCTTCCGCTCTCGCGACCACCGCCTGTAGCCTTCTCGCCGCCAAATGCACCACCTATCTCGGCGCCGCTAGTGCCTATGTTGACGTTGACTATGCCACAATCTGATCCGTGAGGGCCGATCCACTGCGTGAAATTCGATAAGTTAATCCGATCATATACTTGACTGTGTAAACATGCACGTATATTTACACATGTTGGTTATATATTTACCTGAAATATATTTCCGATGCTTTTAGTAAAGAGACTACTGCTCAAACCTTGCTCTACACCATTGTTAAGATCGATAGCCTCTTCTAGGGAATTTGCCTCCAGGACATAAACGATCGGAGCGAAAGTTTCTTGCTGCACCACCTCTGCTTCGATTGATAGACCCGAGATGATTGTCGGCTCGACATAGAAACCGGGTCGTTGTATTTGCTTTCCACCGAACTCTATCGTGCCACCGGCTTTCACAGCTTTCTCAATTGCTGTCTGCAATTAAAAGTATTGAGTTAATCAAAAATTAAAAAAAAAATGAACTTTTTTGCTCGATTTAATACTTTATTTGAATGATATTGGAATTATTGCGTATACTTTGTATTTGTCGACTGCTTGTTGATTATGCAACGGTCCGTACAATACTCCGTCCTCCAACGGATCTCCGACTCGTTTTAATATACTGTTATATGCTGTTTTTAATTTTCCTAAAAATTTTGCAAACAACGTTACATTTTGCATGGAGATATTTCTTCTATTTACATTATTTATCGCGCTTATATTATTTATCATGCCTACCTAAGAATTCGTTCTTTACTTTTTTGTGCAATATTAATCTTCTGGTTGAGGTACATCTTTGTCCAGCTGTTCCAACGCATGAGAAGACTGCCGCTCTCACTGCCATCTCTAAATCCGCATCTTGCGCAACTGTCGACAGAAGAGGAATTATGTACACATGTATTAATGCACACGAAGAATTGATTATTTCGAGGAGATATATGTACCGATCAATGCATTGTTACCGCCAAGCTCCAATAGAGATTTTCCGAATCTCTGCTGAACTTTGAGTGCCACTTGTCTCCCTACGTTCGTACTTCCGGTAAACGAAATAAGAGGTACCCTGTAGTGATAACAGATTGTTACGGTTTCCGCGCGATGCTATAACATGTAACGAATTTAAATTTAAACTGACCGTTTATCATTCACTAGAGTCTCCCCGACATCCGATCCACCTGTGATCAAGGATGCGACAGAACCAGGGATACCATTGCGCTCCAAGACATCCGAGATTATCTTGGTGGTCGCGATGGACACCAGAGGTGTACTCGGCGCTCCTTTCCAAACGATGGTGTTACCACAGACCATGGCAATAGCGCTATTCCAGCCATACACCTGAAGCAAATCAGGCAAATTGGTGCAAAAATTCTTAAAGTGCGAGAAGTGAAGAAGCTAAGGATAATGCATTTACTGCTATAGGGAAATTGAACGCAGAGATAACGCCAATCACACCCAGAGAATTCCATTTCTCTAATAGTGCGTGATTCTTCCTCTCCGATGGAAATAGGCTGCCGGGTAGCATTCGCGACAATCCGACTGCGTAATCGCATATATCTATGAATTCCTGAACCTCGCCTATACCTTCCGGTAATATCTTTCCTGCATATATATTAATCACACATAAATTTATACTGTATAGACACATGTAATTTAATTAACTATACAGGCTGTTAGAGTGAGTTTTCATTAAAACAATAATTTAGTTACCCATTTCCAAGGATACCAAACATCCTAGCGGCTTCAAATTTCTCCTGAGTTCGTCGCCTATTTGCCGGACAATATCTCCTCTCGCTGGTGTCGGGATAGATGTCCATTGCGGCCATGCTTTACGCGCTTCTGTGATAGTATTGCTAGCTTCTTGCGGCGTGGACTCCCGAATCTTCGCAATCACCTTGCCGGTTGCTGGTGATATCGATTCTATCAACTATATTTAAAAAAAAATTATTGGTTTGTTTGCCTTTTAAATATTGTTATAATTTAAAAAAAAATCTACATTTTATTGTAAATATGCATATAAAATTATTTTCAGCGATGATGTATATATTATTGTATTATACACAATGTAATTTGTATTTATATTTTTGTTTAAAATTCTCTTCGGCTTTTTCCACAATGTACGAATCAATTTATCATTATCGATAAGAAGAGATAAGATCTATGTATCTACGCAATTCGTAGATCACGTACCTTGCCGGAGCCACCCCATCTTCCGTCGTAGAGTCCAGGATTTTCGACGGTGATACCTAATTGTTTTAAAAATCCGTATCTTGGATCGGTCACCAGGTATCTCGTCGTCATCTGGAATTGGAGAACGCGACAACGACTTGTTAACAACACACGTGACATGTTGTCAATTGTTACTAACCGATTCGTCGAGCCGTTGATTTAATAAATAGCTTGGGTTATCAGAATGACACTCATCTTTATCGAGATGGGAAAAAGGGAGAGGGAAGAAAACACGATATCTCACATAATTCAAACAATCAAAGTTTGTAAATCATTTGCTGTTCTGAAGTCTACCATTTTCAAACGGTAGACTAAACTTATTTTTATTTTTCTATTTCTCATAAATAACAATAATAATAATTATTATTGTTATTGTTAAATATTGTTTTCATATGTAAATATTGTTTTCATATTTAAAATAATTTGTATATATTTATACATTTATAATATGTAATAATTTATAAAATGTATAATAATATGTTATTAATATAAATTGTTTTGTGTTTAATAATTTTTTTCGAACTAATCTACATATAAAATAAGTAAAAAAAATAAAAAAAATATACATCTTTTTAAAAATATACATCTTTTATTTATAGATGCAAAGATAATGATGCTAATCCTATTAATAAATTGATCTAAACAACCAAAATAAAACAGAATTAAAAAGTGAAAAAATGTATGAGGATCATTTAAATATCGATACGTCTCGCTGTTCGATTTAAATGGACAGGGTCTGCTCGATTTTTGCCAACAATTGCTGGCAATCTGACGTAGGCATACATATGTATATACATATGAGATTACATACTCATGGTGCAACTCCGTCGACAAGTGAATTAGTGGAGACACCAGACGCACCAGACACACCAGACCGAGCCAGCCAGACGCCAGTTGAAAAATGGCAGACTGCGAGAAGGAGGAGGCGCACAATCTCGTAAGCTATTTACTTTTACTTAACATTTATCTAATCACTTAGTCAGCCTTGCGCGCCGTCTCTATAGCCATAAGTTCAGATGGGTTCGTACACACTGTCAAATTAATCATCTATCGTTTCACTAGCTCGTTGCTGAGAAACGAAGCTTGAGGTTATATCATTTGACGTTTCCTCGATGGTTTGTCCTGTGCCGAGAATTTCGTTGGAATCGATGTGTAATACGTTATTAATTTTGTTTTCAGCAAATGGAGTTTGAGTGGGTGCTCCACGAGGAAGTGCACTCCTCGTTGTCGCAGCTCCGAAATATCTTGATGGTGCGTATAAGCAATAGAGGACCAGTATTTCCACTTGGTCTATATTAATTGACTAAGTGGGTGTATAGTATAATTGCTGTTAAGAGAAATTGAATACTTGTAATACATATTAATTATATGTATTCATTTCAAGGAGTGTGCTCAGCGATTTCCACTGGCGCTCTTTGGTAATGATCAACATAATAAAACTGACAGATTCGTCTTTGCAGCCCCACATGACCAAGTCAAATGTGTTGCTGTCTTGACAGGCGACAGTATTACAAATGCGGTAAAGAGTTTAGTGTATTGTTGAAATAATACGTTAAAATTATAATTGTATATTTGTTATGTTATGAAAAAAACTCTATGTTTATAGGAAGTGAATTTTAAAGTACAACGACAACAGAATATTAATATGAGGACGAGTATTCAGAATGAACATCCATGGAAGTTACAGCAAATTCAAGATGCTGCTAATCATTTACAGCAAGGCATTGCTCATATAGATAATGTAGATAGACATTATCTTTTTAAAACCTCAGACGAAGTCATGCATGTACTAGGTAATATTTTAGGTTGCCTTCAGAGAAGCAGGACCAGTTTAATTGTTCCTAGAAAAAAGACAATTGATGATCTTATTAAGAGTCGAAATATGGTGCGTATTACTTTCTTCTGCAATGAACAAATTTAACTTTCAACTGTGTTAATGGAATTTCAAAAAAACTTTTTGTTCACAGAAATCTCTTAATCCAAACCTTCCAGAAAATTTGGCTATTAGCTTTTACATTCAAAGTTACAAACTGGTTTTGGCTATTTATCAGTTAGAGAATGCTCATGGCAGCGTCAAATATGAAACCCAGCAAGCGGAATGCAGTGTGCCATGGCTAAATGATGCTCTTGTATTACTTACTATTGCATTACAACTTTGTCAACGACTGAAAGATAAGGTTTGTAAAGAATTTTGTCTGTAATTTTTGTTTGTAAAGAATTTGATAAATTTCCTAATGTTGTAAACTTTTCAGATATGTGTCTTTTCCCAATACAAAGATTTTACGGTAGGTTCTCGTGTTCCTTCCGCGATGGGATGGTAACCTAATTTTTAACACCAAGAGAATTTTCACATTTAAACTCGATATAGCAGTGCTATGTGAAGTGAAAAAAAAATTGGCCTCAACCAATAATACTTGTTCTGGCCTTTGTTTTTACATCTGTTGATTGTTGTCCTCTTATCATATTTCTCATTACATTAGAATGTTGTTCTAGCGTTTTTAAATCGGTACAGTGTGCGCCTAGTATTACAATAATAATAATAATAATAATAGTAATAATAATAATAATAATAATATATACAGTGTATTATGTAATATATTAATTATTGAGATGTTGGATCAAAAAGATTCACATGGATATGTGAATCAGCAATGGATAATAACAAATCACCATAGGCCAGAAATAGAAGATTTAAGCATTTTGCCAATTATTGGTGTGCCTATCACCATGTTATATTGTGTTCTTCCCATTTCTGAAGTAGTTTTCATGAACGTCTAAATCGTTAAGCATATAACATCTGAAGTTGTCATTTCATCTACAAAAGTTGAAATATTTAATACATCTGTGATTCTAGAAATGTATGCTATAATCCTCTCCTTACTGAATTAGAATATGCTTTCACATCATTGGTTATTTTATTATTTTAGAGAGATCACGGTAGTGTCTCGCGCTAAGTTCATGTATTAATAGACATGAATTTTAACTTTTCTCTTTTATATTGTTTGTTGCTTGTGCATAACTATCCATATAGAATTACTTTTTATCTTAATATCACAGAGTTGTTAGGTTGTCCATAAAATAATGTCATTTTACATTTTAATCTTTTATATTATATTTTAACTTCCAATTTTAACGATCAATACTTGATGGAATTAATCGAAATAAGAGACAAATAACTCGACGCATTTGTAATTTGTTTACATTGATCAGAGTTTATGTTTATTCCAAAGGGTTTCTTATAATTAGTAAAGAATTTTCTCATTAAAAGTTGGGTAAAATTGTTCAAAGAGATGGTAATCACTTGATAAGTAATTTAATGAATATGATAATGAATATGATTTAATGAATATGAAGTGAGATAAGATTTTGATCAATGAGTTTAGTTTTTGATAGATCTTTTGTAGATGTGTCATGTGGGAATGCTATATTTTTTCAATTGACTAGTGCCAATCCTTTAATTTCCTACTTTTTTGATCCAATTTCTCTTAGTATTTATTGATTATTTTATTATTTTAAAAAGTGCATAATATATTAGCCATTATCCACTAACCAGTTATTACTACTCGAATCGAGCTTTTATGATAAAAACATTCAAATTTTAAAAAGAAATGTTATTTTTCAAAAAATTTATATCTTTGCATGTTATCTTTTGCAAAGCAAATCTTCAAAAATATCAAAATTTAAAAATTCAGATGCAATAACTTAATATCTTTCTACTAACACAAGAAGATGTGCTAATTTAACAATGACTATACATATAATAAAATATTATTTTATTTTTCAATTTATTTATATATGTTTATATAAAGATAATAAGTAGAAAAATACCATGTGCCTCATGATTCCGAATTTGAATATGAAAATATGAATCTTTTTACATGATGGTACAATTTTGTAATCAATATTTTTCGCGATTACTAAAATTGCTACAAAGAAAATACACGTAATGTATATGTATATATATATATTTGTATGCATATAAAAGCGCGCATAAAAATTCATACATATATACATATATACTTGAAAAAAGAGAAAAAAGAGAAGAGATTGCTACAAAAAATATTGTTCTAGATTATTAACACAGTAGGGAAAGGATTAAGATATAAAATTTAAAAAAAGTGCTTATAAATATAATAAGTAATTAATAATTCTATAAGAACATGTGTGTAAAGAAAGAAATTTCCATACACAATTTTTCGACGGCTTAGTGAAGTGACTTTTTAGATATTAATATTATGTTTTAAAAAAATAGTAATATTTAATAGCTAGAAACAATATGAAAAATTTAACATAAACATTTCTGTGTCATTATAGTTAAATGAGCAAAGTTACATTTGTGTGACTTTTACTCTATAAATATAACTGTATAACAAAAATTATAAAAGAAATTCTTGCCCAAAAATTATTATCTATATAATATTTCTATATGTCTGTGTATTTAAAAAAAATTTAGATCTAATGTTTATTTTAATAAGTTAATTATAAAGTAATTATTCTCTCACATTATATATATATATATATATATATATATATATATATATGTATGTATGTATATGTCTGTATGTATGTATAGAAAGTTGTAATATTTTAAATATTAAATTTATGTATATAAAGCGCATATTATTTATTGTTAATATTACAAATATAATTTGTTCTATATTTGCTTGAGAGTTTATTAAGTGAAATTGTACTTATGTAATTTAAATGTTTAATTTATTTGCAATAGGATTATTAATAAATGTCTAAATTGAATCATTTTACATGTGTTTTTGCTATATTTGATTTTCTTTATCAGATTTTAATTATCATTCCGTAAAATTTCTAAAAAACGGATTATTTTAGATTATAGAGACATTACACATTAATTTATATTTTATTTGAATGTATAAAAATAGATTTTTCAAAGACTTTCTTTAGACTTTTTCGAAATGTATATTGAATTTCGTATCTTTTTTACACTTGTATAAATAAAGTTATCAACGTTGAAGCACTAAATTTGATAAAATTTCATCGAGATGCATAGAAAAAATATATTTCTATTCAATAAATAGAATGCAGCATTTCTATTGCATATATTTTATTATATATACTTTGTGTTTATTGAATAGGAATGTATTTTCTAGCACTGTATATAATATATCACATGAATGCATGTATGTATATGTATATGCATTATATAATAATTTAGTAATATATAGAGCTATATAGATTATGTGCTACAACTTGAGACTTGTATTTGGAACGTACCATTACATGGCTCGTTGGTCTAGGGGTATGATTCTCGCTTCGGGTGCGAGAGGTCCCGGGTTCAAATCCCGGACGAGCCCGAGTGTATTTATTTTTTTACTGCATCCATTATTATTATTTTATTCTTTTACTTAAATAATTTGCCAATGACATTATTACAATAACGTGTAAATTTCATGTATACGAAGGGGTATTATTTTAAAATAATCATCCTTTTGAAAATTTGTCATCAATAGTCGATATAATCGATAGTCGATATGCAATATGCAGCTTTCAACCACAGATATACAAATACAACATGTCGCTTGCATGGAATCCATCGAAGAATCACAGTGAACGTGAGAGGCAGGTTTAAGTATAAATAGTAGCGCTATAAAAAGCAAGTTTAAATATAAATATATAGATATTTTTTAAATACAACATGATAAAAATTTCACATTCATATAGTTTCTTTCATAGCTCGTAAGATACATTTACAATCTACATCTCATGCTAACCTATAATGTCAATTTGAATCGCAATTTTCTAACGTCAAAATTGAGTAAGAATTAAATTAATTAGTTATAATGATTCAGATTTTTTGCAAAGACGTTTGTATCACCTTAAGGAATAATACAAATCATTTTTGATATTTCATATTTGTTAGTATTTTTTTGAGGCCTTCGAGTTACAGGTATAAATTTGCCATATGTTATCTGACATGACGCTTTTTACAGATGGGTGTGCATTTACCCAATATATTTAAACAACAAAAGGAGTTTGAAGGAAGGACGAAAGTTGGCCAAGGATAAATGCGTAGAGAACCCAACGCATCAAGAGATACGGGATGTATTGGTAGCAGGAGGTTTTAATGTAGGCGTCGAGAATAAACTACATCCGAAAGAACGCAGCAAGGAACCTCTGTATCGCGGTCGTATTCGCATACAGTTAAAAAATGACGATGGTACACCATTACGACCCGACTTTCCCACTAGAGATTCTCTTTTGGCATACATTGGAATTACAATTCCAAAGTTAAAGACTCGTCAGGGCAAACAGAGTTCTAGTGAGCAAGCGTCGCAACCATCCGCATCAACATCAAAGAAAGGAAAAGGTAAAGGAAGAAGGTAAAGAAGAGGATTTGGAACTATATATCATAATGTGAAGTGATTTTTGCTTATATTTTCATTATAGAAAGCATTTCTGTATACACATATATGTATATATAATCTATTTACATTTTTCATAATTCTGTATTGTGTTTATATAAGATATAAAGTAAAATTAAAATAATTAGTTGATTTGAGAGTAAAGCTATATTTTATCAAGTTCTATTATTGTAACTTTTAAATCTGAATTAAATTCCAAATTATAATGTGCAAGATATTAACACAGTTTTATTATTTATAAATTTTAGTTGACTTGATTTTAAATATGAATGTAAGAGATTAAACTAATTAATATTTAAATTTTATGAGAAAATATAATTTAATATTGCTTGTCAAAGAGAGAATTTAATAATGAATTAATTGTTTGCTGTATGAATGCGATATAATAATATCAAGACAAGTTTTAGACAAGATAAAAAGATAATGCATTTAATTTATATTATTTCATTATAATTATTGTTTTCACTTTTTTGTTTTGTTCTCTTTCTCAGAGATGTTATTTTTGGTTGTATTACTAGATTGCTTCGCCTCATTATTAGAATGTACAATTTTATCTGTTGAAGCTTTTTCTATCTGCTCAGCATTTGTATTAATACAATAAGAATTTGGATTAGATGCAGAAATTAGCGGATCTGATATACCAGGTATATATTGTGGAATATATTCCGGTTGGACAAAATATTCATTAGGATGGAGTAAGTTGGTCAAGGGATTAGGATATGAAGTATATTGATATGGGGCATTAAAGTGTTGATATTCCATCGGTTGGTATACTGTATTTGCGCTGACGATATACGGCGTTTGTATGGGATAATGCGCCGGTTCGGCTGATCTTAGGAAATTTGTAACTGCGTTTTGTTCAACAGATTTAGCCTGAAAAAAAAATAAATTTTGATCTGTAATTTGTCTGTCTTAAACTAAGGCTATATTTAACAATTTTAATATATCAAATGATTATTTATCAGTTGTATCAATATACAGAATATTGTAACTCAATATATCAATATATATATAAAGTCTTATAATTCAAACAAATTATTACAATTTGTCAATATTTAGAGTGTTGCATTCTTGAACTTAATTTTAATGACAGACTCTTCGATTATTTTTCAATTCTATTAAAGAAAAATCATTTAGAAAAAGATTAATTTAAAAATCTAAAAATCTAAAAATTTAAAAATCTGTTAATATTAATATTATGTTAGCTATGAAACACATTGTATACTTCCTAATGAAACTGAACAAGCACATTCATTATATTATTATGAAACTTACAGCATTATTTCTAGCAATAGGAACATCTTTAAAAATAGTAGAACTATCATCACTTTCACCAGCAGGTTGACCAACAGACTCTGGGTTTTCATTCTGTAACGATTAATATAAAAAAGATATATTTAATTGCATTCTTGTTATTTATATATTAATTAAATTTGACACATATTCTTTATTTCAATTTAAAATTATTTTATATGTATCAGCAAACATTTTATAATTGTAGAAGGAATTTCAGTCATAAGCTCAGTCATAGTTAATCTAGCAGCTGTACTCAGGATGAATAGTTCCTGAAATTATATAGAGTTATAAATCTCTTTAAATGTTACTTACATTAGAGTTTCTGAAACCGCCATGATGTACAGTATGAGGATAGAATAAACGATGATGGCCAAATAGATTGTACAAAATTTGCCCTGGAAGATTACTTCTATGAAAATTATGATGAACAGGCGATCCACGTGCATGCCTGAAAGGATGCAGAATTGAACCCACCAACGGACCTGTTGTGTCGTACAATCCGTTTGTTACATAGCTGACAATTGGATTTACCATTCCGACGACCGGGGTTTCTACGCCAGGCATAGTTGGATATGGGCACGATCCTGTATTTGGTACCATGTACAATGGAGAATTGTATGTATTCCAAGAAATTGCACTGTTTAACGGTTTTTCACCGTGAAATTCGTTTTCGGGGCTATTCTCGTCGGAAACGCCCGAAAATGAATTTGTCGAAGAATCACTATCGTAAGCCGCATTGAATGTTTTGATAAAATGAGAGTGACCAGCTGCTGGCCCTCCATTGATAAAATATTGTGCCACTTTGTCGGCATCTCCTACAAGGCAATTCGATAGTCTTTACTTTAGATATTGAGATTACCGATGCTGTTCAAATGTATAGAAGAAAACGTTTCAATTTTTGTAACATTTCTTAAACGTTTCTTGCATAACATTTTGTATTCCTTGTATTTGGATATTATGATTAATCTTTTATATAAATGAAGTTACTTTTATATGGATTATTAAAAACTGCATCCAACTATGTTTAAAGAGGAGCAGTATTTCCCAAAACAATTTAGATTCTTTGTTTTCTCTTTTTAAATTTTCAAATATTTTATGGCACTACAATGTTTAATATAATCAGATGCAAAGTGAGTATATTTGTAGCACATTTCTCTAAAGATTCTCTAAAGATCATTTAGATAAATAGAAGATTGAGATCTTTTACGCAGTTACTCTTACCCATTCTGAGACGACGTCTAGATTTTACAAGGGAACGTATGTCTCGCTCTTCATCCGTTAGATCTTCAGAAAGTATATTCAGATCGATAGCTTGAATCTCTCTTTGTATACGCTGTATGCATTTTGCTTCTAAAATTATATATTGTCAAATAAAAATATAAGATTTGCAATATTATTTTCATGGAAATTATTTCAATCCATCTTTTGTGTAAGGGAAAAATTTGTTGACAATACCTTTATCGTTATTGTTAAAAACATTACATTCACAGCGATCATTTGCAAATATTGCGGAGACGTTACATTGTTTACACAACAAGTCGCAAGATTCAGCATCGTTTATGTCCAATAGTGTGCTGTGAACTATCGCTACAAGTATATCATATTAATTACTACAAGAGCATTTAATGTAAATACTATAAAAGTGTATTTAAAAAATTGAATTATCCTCAAGAATTCTTCTTTTTTTCATTACTTGATAAATATTTCGAAAAAATGTATATTTATGGCAATTAAACGTTAATGCAAATTTTTCAAAGCTTTGCATTTAATTGATTCTAATAATGACTGAAAGTATTATAATATAAATTTTTTAAATTAAATATTATTGAATCCACACTGAATAGAATTAATAAAAAATATATATTCATGGCAATTAAACGTTACTGCAAATTTTTCAAAGCTTTGCATTTAATTGATTCTAATAATGACTGAAAGTATTGATATAAATTTTTTAAATTAAATATTATTGAATCCACACTGAATGAACAGAATTAATAAAAAATATTCATACGAACCAACATAGCATAGAGTATGAATTAACCATAGAATTCGATGTCGAACAGCCATATCGTTTAATAAATATGTAACAGAAGTAAAAAATTTAAAATCAGATACAAATCATACACGTGATCCTGCACCGCACTGCAATAAGAAGCACAATTGTAACTTGATTTATAATAATTGATATTGCACAATTTGCTGATTATTTTTCAAACTGCTTCTCTGGCATCATTAATGCAATTTCGCGTTTTAATTTATCGGTTGCAATCAGCTTACCCAATATTACACATTCCTGACATATTGAATGTCACAATTATATTCGGAAAACGATTGCGATAATATATCTAACTGTGACCTGCGAGCCTAAAGTTTGTTTGTATTGCACTTTCACCGAATTTATTTCAAGGCGAAATTATACAATGCATAGTTTTGCATATATTAATAATATATGAATTACAAACACGCGTATAACAGATTTAATCAGTAATTATCTTGATAATAATTCTAAACAATTTTGATAATTAATATAATTTGTATAAAATTAAATAATAAAAAAATATTATTTATAATATTTTATATTATAAAAGTATTATATTATTAATACATTATAAATATATATCATTTTAATTAATATTTCTTACTGCGATAATGCTTTTCCTAATCATGCTTAAATTTAATATGTTAATTATTAAAAAATCATACTTAAATTTAATATGTTTAATATATAAAATAAAAAAAACCTTCACCGTGACAATGCTTTTACACATTGCCGTGACCAGGATTCGAACCTGGGTTACTACGGCCACAACGTAGGGTCCTAACCACTAGACGATCACGGCTACCGAAGGTCACGTAAATGAATTGGATTTTTAATGATAACACTGATATGATATATACATATCTTTGAATATTTTCAACGCTCAAGTAGTGTGTTATAAAATCATAACAGATTACATCAGGCAATTGCACATATATTTCAGGTGGACAGGAGGATTTCTGATATTGAATACATATAGATCATTTATCATACGACAGATCATTTATCGGAAATTTTCTCGCAAAATTATTGGAATAAAAAAAATCATTCGCGCATGAATTTCCCAACTTTTGAAATCCGCGAAACGAGATTACATCCTGCGGATATCAGCGTTATAGTATAGGTGAAATTTTATCTCGCGTAAAGTTTCATGCAGATAGGATCGCCTCGAGCAATCATCGCATATGGGAAATTCATATTTCTAGAATTTGAGATTTTATCGCGGGAGCGCAATATCAGGCAACTTGGCGGGCTCGCGAAAAATAACCACCATAGCTGTAGAAAACATAGATTGCTCTTCTATCCAATTTGTATTTGTAAGTGGAAAATACCGTTCGAGCGGAAAGGATAAAGTTATTTAACAAAGCTCGCTAAGCTCTTGTTTTATTGAGCGTAAGTGGTGCAGAAAACGTTTGCGGCTTTTATTGCCTTTAAAAAAAAGACGTGATCTGTGTCGCTACCTCTCCTCTCGTTGTTATGCTACTGTCCGCTCACGTACCAGTCTATGTTTCCTATGTCCATGGTTGTCGGCCATTACGTCAAAATATTAGGGCGCATTCACACCTTGGCAAAAGATAAAACAAAAAGCAGAAAAGCAGGAGCTATTCAAATTCGTGTTGATCATAATTTCGAGTTGTTGCCCTTCGAATATACTGCTTACACACTGCTTATTAGACCGAGTTTTGATTGGCTTTCTGCTTTTCTGTTTTTTGTTTTACTGCAAAGGTGTGAATGCATCCTTATCTCGAGAGCGCGGCGGCGCGTTACATCAATCGCGTTCAGGCACGTATCGATTTACTTTGACGATTAAAGAATAGCTCCAGAGAGGATATTCTTTCTTCTGATATTATTTCATCATCGAAATTTTCGCACAAATTGCAATGGAAAAAGTCATTATCTTATTTAATTCCGTAATTCGGGTAAGTTTAATTAATCACTTAACGATTAATATCTCATTCTTAGAATGTTGTGGATACTGAGTTTATTTTATATTCAATTACTAATATATTTTAATAATGATGGTTTTTTTCTATTTTATTTTATATTTATTATAGTTCATATTTTATTTTATTTTTTATTGCATAATCAACATATTATATGCACATGGAGAAGCGAGAATTCAGTTTTCAATGTGTAAATTATATTATATACAGCTTTCAAACAGGGTCAAAATCGTATGATGCATCAGAGCATAATTTGAGCGCTGCAAATCATATTGCCTTAATATAAGCTATATTGGAAGCATTAAATTTTGAAAATTTTGTTAAGATAGGGAGGGTTCTATCAACGTATATTTGGCTTCAACTTATTACATTTTAAAATTAGGTAACACACACAGTACATTTAAGGATTATAAATTTCATAAATTCTATTCTTTATCTCAAAATTACATTAAAAATGTCATATATCTTAGAAATTTTGTTAACATAAATAGATTCCATCGATCAGTGAAGTATCATGATTGAACGTTGCCATCGGATTTTTTTATATGGAAATAAATTTATTTAATGGCTAAAAATGTTTCGGTTATATTAATTATATTACGCAAGTATATCATCGTGGTACCTTTAATGGTAGTCGCAGACGATACGTGACTGGAACGTCGCGTAGGCGTTCTAAGAGTCGCGTATAAAACCACTTGCTTCATCATGTTTTCCCGATCACGAGAGTCTCCGGGAGAGCCTACCCCAACTAAGCCGACAACGGGGTCTAGTGTCGTCTTGCCTCTCTTTCCTGTTCTCGTTATTCTCGTTTCGTACTGAGAGCTAGCGAGAATCACGCATATGCGCGCAAAAATATCCCGTTTGGAAAAATCACGAAGATCATTCTATGAATCTGACAATGAGTATGTCGCTCACATCTCGAAGAAGATTCGAATGAATATATAACGCGATCCGGAAAGCAGAGAGAAATCTGATAACTTTACAGAATGTTCCACAATTGAAGTATTGAAAGTATTTGTATATGGCTTTTTTATTGAAATTTTTACATCGATGAAAATGTTGAAAAAGTCATTATTTAATGCATCCTTCCATTTTTTTAAAATATAATATAAATATATCTTTATAATTATTCTTCCAATTTTAAATATTTATTAAATTTGTTAAATTTAATTTATTGAAAATTTACTGTAAAATTAATTAGTTTTCAATTCGTAATAATTTGAGATGAAAAAATTATCTCAAAACAAGGCAATATTAAAAAAAAATTATTGTACGATTTTGTAAATTTTTATAATCACATTAGTCATGTACATAAAAATCTGACGATATGATTTGACGGTATACTTTTTTTAATCGCATATTAATCATTATTTTCATTGCGCGTTTCATGTTTTATCACGCTTTTCTCAAAATCTTTAAGCATTTTGTCGATGCGCTTCATACAGTCAGCAGAATATTTGTGATCGATATCGTACACCTTTAAATGTAAAGAGACACAATTGAATATTTATGTAAATTTCCGGAGGGAGATGTAAATTTTAAAAATTCAAGAAAAGCGTTTGTACCTTTTTAGTGAAGTCAGTTTTTAATTTTTTATCTTGGAATATCATTTTTTCGCCGGTTCTCAAGTTATCGAAAACTTTTACTCGCAACGGTCCGAATTTCTTTTGGAACTTTTGCACATCTCCCGCGCATTCTTCCTCCAACTTTTGTATATCGGCGTGAATCTTCCTTTCGTCCGCGCCCAACTGGTCCACTTTCTTGTTAAATTTTTTTATGTCGTTGTACGCATTCCGATAATCCTTGCGCATTTTTGTTTGTACTTCTTCAAAAAGCTAAACATTACATTACGCGATAAAAAAATTAGCTGTGCGATATATTTTTTATTTTACGTATAATTAAAACAAAAACTTAAAATTTTATGATTCTTTAATCCTAAAAATTTTAATTTTTATTGACGTATAAAATCTGTACAAAATAAAATTTATTACTTTTTCAATTCCACTATTGACAGTATCATTTTTTATCGTATCCGGCGCATTTGGAAACTTTTTGAATGTCTCGTCAACCCGTGTCTGGTGGGTTTTAATCCACGTATTGATTTTAGCGTCGATCTTGTCATCGTCATAGTCCATCAGGAATGTATCTTCATTCGTAACATTATCCTGTACTCTTGCCAGGACTTCGGAACTCCAGTGTAAAACACGATCTTTCTCCTCCAGGAGACCTTGCCATGTTTCAGGCATTCTACCCATAGTTTGACCCATTTTGTCAAATTGTATCTTGTCAAGCTTCTCTTTCAGAGGAAATAGGAGTTATAAAATAATGCACAGCTTTAGATGTCCATATAAGAATAAAAAGATCGGAGTGTGTCTTTAATATATAATATAATGTATTTTTAATATATGTAATGATGAAGTATTTAAAAAGCCGAAAATAATGCCGAATTTTAAAGTGTAACAATCTAATTTTAATGATCGAGACTTTTTTAGACTTTTATATTAAATCTCTAACCTGATTTTTTTAAATATTTTATATATTCTTTAATTGATTTATATATTAAATTTCCTCCTGAAATCTCCACCGAAATAACGTTCCGTATAAAGAAAAAGTTATTCGAATCTTTATATGGCCAGACTAAAAATTTTGGAAGCCAGAAATATTTACTATTACAATCTAATTGGAAAAATTATCCGATGTTTGCTTCGTTATGTCAAGCGCTCTTTTGTTTAACATGTCCACCTAATGAAATTTAACGTACTCTCTAAAAGTGAATCAGTGTATTACCACTGTAATCAGTGCTGTACTTATAACTGCTTGTAATCAGTGAGTATTTACTGTTTTTCAGTGATAATACAGTGATAATACAGTCAGTGAAATAATTATATATACACTATTTTCACTAGTGTATTATGTATTACCGTGACATTATTTAGAAATTAATCTAAATAATGTCACGGTAGCTTGATATAAAATATAGAGCCATTTATATCTTTATAAAAAGATAATTATAAAAAGATAATATAATTTTGTCTTTCTGCACACATATTATTTTGCGTGCAATAAGTCTCAGATAATTTCCAATACTTTTTCCGATATTCTTATTATTATTAATCGCGCTCTTCCATAAAGGTAACAAGATAATATTAATAAAAAAAAGAATCAGATATTTTCCCTTCGGTCCCATCGATCGTACTCGACTCTATCATCCCTTCTTATTCATGCCGTCCCTCGTCCCCTGCGCACGCTATCTATACAAATCTATAGTCTATGGTCACTGCAGGCTTTGTACGGTGGCGCCGCGCGCGGCAGTTTCCGGCGCTAACATTAGCGCCATTCGCGCGTTATTGATAAATTCTGCGGTAAATGCGTATTATATGCAAGACGACGTGAAATTACGGACGGAAAACGGAGAATCGGTTGTCTTTCACGGTTGTTTGAATGCGAAAACGTCGGATTCATTCGCGAGGTAAGAACGAGGGGAGTAGAGAGGGGAGGGGGGCGAGTCCGAGGAGGCGCGCGCGAGCGAGGTCGGAGCGTCGAGCGCGCGCCATTTTGCTTTCGCACTCGTGTCGGCGTCGGACTCGGCGGAGAAAAAGAAACTGGGACGGATGTCCGCCTGTCGCGGAAAGCCCACGGGATTGAATCGCATTCGCGCGTCCCGCTGCCTCGCCTCGCCTCGCCTCGCGCGTCCCGGTGTCAATTCAAAGCGACGTAATCTCCGCTCGACGCGGGCCAATAATCGGCTTATTGATTTCGATTCGCGCCCGCCTCGACCCGTGTTACATACGCGCGCGTAAACGCTCGCAGAGATGCCGCGGCGAGCGGAGGAAGGAGGAGAAAAAGAACCGCGCGCAAGCAAATACTGACCATGCGAAATTAACCCGGAGATATTCACCGGCCTGCGCTGTTCGGCAGGATTTTCATTTATTATAAAACGAAGGTGATGAGAACAAGTATTTGTCGAGAATCAAGTCTTTCGAATTGCGAGATGATAAAGCTTGCGATCGCTCTTGTATTCTAGCTCGTTCAAATGTTTTGTCAATTTATTATTACGTGGACTCTTTCTTGGAAATGGCACTGTCATCCCGTATAATCGAAATTCTTTATTTTCGCTTTAATTTTAGTAGATTTAGTGTGTTATAGTACATTTTAGTATATATTTACATTATTCATACACGTCGAAAGAGATTGCATATGATTTTCATGTCAGCTCGAAGAAAATATATATCTTCCCGTCACTCTAGATCAGTTTTGCGATACGATTTATTTATGTATAATCTCTAAATAATTTCCGTTTTATTGTATCAATATATACAGGATGTTCTAAAAAGGTATGTAAAAAATTTAAGGAGATATTTCTCGCATCTGAAGGATGAAAAAATGTTATATGGACATAGGTGCGGAAATGCTTATTTCAGGAGGAGTATGTTGAAAATACTGTTAGCTGTATTACTTACACAAGGAAAAATTTAGGATTAATTATTGTATATGACAATCGTTTAATTAGGCTTATTTACATTTTAGTGACCTTGAGTATGTTACAATAAATGTTGAAAATATTCACCATTTTCCTGAATACAAGCAGTGACACGTCGACGCATCGATTCACGGACACATTCAAAAATGCCACCAGTGATATTCAAGAGCTTCGTGACCATATCACTGCAGCTTGCAAGGCAATCCGCTGTACGCCAGGCATTTTTGAACGTGTCCGTGAATCGATGTGTCACTGCTTGTATTCAGGAAAATGGTGAACATTTTCAACATTTATTGTAACATACTCAAAGTCACATTAAATTCAAATGTAAATAAGTCTAATTAAACGATTGTCGTCTACAATAATTAATCCTAAATTTTTCCTTGTGTAAGTAATACAGCTAATGGTATTTTCAACATAACTCCTGAAATAAGCATTTCCGTACCTATGTCCATATAACATTTGTTCATCCTTCAGGTGTGAGGAATATCTCCTTAAATTTTTGACATACCTTTTTAAAACATCCTGTATATATATTTTTATTCAACTAAATTAATTATTTTCTACTGAAAACAGTCATTTTCCTAGAATTTGCGATTAAGAGATACTTGATAAAACTAAATTTTCTCTCTTCTATTAATGGAATATTAAAATTTAGAAATACGTATTTTTTAAAACAGACATAAACATTTGGTCGAAATATCTTTGAGCGAGCGATAAACGTTATTGTCTAAATAAACAAGCAGCTGTGGCGCTCGCGGTTCGCGAGATGGCACTCTTTTATAGACTTGGTAAATTATTTCGCAGGAATCCCTTTCTTCGGAAATGTTCGTAAAACAGCTTCCCTAACTTTTAATACGGTTACACGGTCGAACAAGTTCGCGCCGCAACGTCAGTATAGTTAAGAGTTAATCCTCGCAACGTTCGGGTCCCAGGGGGACCGTCGCGGACTGATGGTATAAACCAAGAGGGGGCATCTTTATGCCCGATGATGATGGGAATTTGCTTTTCATGGAATTATAAAGTAATCCCCATCGCGCGCGCGTTTCTGCGCATTAAAATTGTCGCGCAAAGCGAAAGTTTCCGCAGCAATTAGTTGACGCTTTTAACGATCCCGACGTTTATTCGCACACGTTCGTAAAAGCCCATACGTACGAGATGGACCCCGTTTCCCGCCCTCGCCTTGCCCTGTCATGGGTTGTATACGTGTTGTATAGGTGTAAGTGTAACGCGCGGCTTTATGGTACCGTTCGAGCGACAAATTGAACTAAAAATAACCGCTTTGCGCCCCGATGCCACCTGACTACTCGTGCGTGCGCGAAGGTGGCCTCGCGCCGAGTATACACGGAATATACACTTCACCTGGCTGCTCCTTTGAGGCCGGGCGCCGGGAAATCGCCTTGCGAATCATGTATCCGCGTGCATATCCATGTGCGCGGCTTTTTACAGAGCCTGTGTGACCTACCTAGCTTTCTCGCCCACGTTAAATATCGCACGGATCATCCATGGGGCTTGTGCTTCAGCGACGAAGATCGCATTAATTTTGCCGCGCAAAATGAACGCGGATATTAACGCGGGCGCTTGCGTTTTTACTTTCGTAATTTCCCTCGTCGTTATTATCACGTAATATTTTTATATCACATTAATACGTAAGATTAGGAATTTTTCGCGAAGAGAGACGCGACTTCGGTATCTGTCGCGGTATCAATTTTATTTTTCCCCGAGGCATCGCAATGAAATATTGATGCATTTCCACTAATCATCTTGCCAGTGAATCTTGATACGTTGACAAAATATCGTGTGCGCGCATCATTACTATTCATAAATACGTGTGAACTCCTTTCGCATGTGGGAGCGCACGTGTATATGCGCAGTCTCGCTGTTCGATATTTTTGCAAACAAGCACAAGTCACATAGGCATACACACACATACACACAGGAAAATGAGTCTCATCCATCCGACTATGATCGATAGTGAATACACGGACAACTTGATCGAGGGCGATCGGATCCTTCCGCGCGATAGATCAAAACCGGGATCTCGCCGAATTGACACTTCTAAGTACGGGCTAGCTGACACAAAAAAGGGGACATTGCTTCCGGTTTTATCAGTCAGAAAGAATTAACAAGCGTGTATGGACTATACTCCCGTATCAAAGGGGTTGACTATATCGTCGTATGCGCATATAATTTGCATGTATATAAAATAGTTATGGCGTCATTTTGGAAATAGGTAGCCGAAATAAATGCGCAATTATTTGTTATTTTATCACGTATATTATATACATGATATTATATTACATGATATATATCTTCTCATATTTTCGCACATATTTTTAACGTGAAAATTATAGCTGACTTTTAGAATTATGTATTTTTTTTTTCTAAAAGTAGAAAATTTTTGCAGCTTTCTCTTTAGATTTCCCGATATATTATGAATTTATTAGATAATTGAATCAAGACACATTTTCAAGATTGCGCGCTTTTTCTGTTGTCAATTTAGCAATAATATTTATTGTCAATTCTTCGGCGAATAAATGCAAATTTTATATCTTACGAATTTGAAATGTGACATTGCAAATATCAAGTCGCAAATGTATAAAATATAAAAATAAAAATGTGAAATACGTTTCAGTTTTTGCAGAATGTAATCATTTCACAAAAAAAGATTTTGCAGATAAATTATTTAACTCTCGTTTCCGGAATTTTAATCTATCTGATTTATCTGATTTATTATATTTCTTTCTTTAAGCATTTTATCTACTATCTAGTTAAATAATGTATTTACTCTATAAGAAATTTATTTTTCAAAATTTTTCATCATTATATTT